TTTTCGTGTGATGAGATTTCACTGTATAATGTTAACGTCCTTGAACAAATGAAATATTGAAGTAACGTAAAAAGAAAGTGAAACTGAATGCTGTGAAAACCTGAATGAATTTAGAAAAAATCGAATTTTATCTCAAATAAGGAATGTTCACAAACAATCCAACACTCCAGATTTTTTTCATCATCCCCCATATTTTGATAGTTACAGCCATTTGAAATCTATGAACAATAAAGAAAATGTAGAATAAGGCTTTCCTATTTTAATTCCAAAAATTTTAGGCAAAGAAGAGAGAAACACACTTATGATGAACAGATTATCCTCTTTTCAACAATTGGTTTTTTCTTTATATTTAGCTGAACAGTTTTTAGTTCAGATGTTTTTCTTTCAAAACTATTCTGGCCTATCTCCTGAAAATAATGAGCGAATATTGAAACATTAATTGGAATAAATAATAAAGTTATTTTGCCTATTTTTCCAAGTTTAGTGGATATTTCAATTTCAATTTTTGCAATTTTTATTTTATACAATTTTAAAAACAATTTGTCAGGAAATATACCTGATACCAGTATTCATATGAAAAAATATACTGTCAAACTTATGTATATTTTTTCATGGAGTACTTGCTGTTTTTGATGAACACTCCCTGCTTCCAACACTCTTTTTGTGAACTATAGCTCTTTGGAATGCACTTTTCCAAAAATATAAGCATACAATTTGTATTTGCAGGCATTTGACATCCCAAGACTGGAAGATCTTTTTGCTTCCAGTCCAGTGCTCACATCCTTCAGCAATGACCAAGTCCCCACAGGGGATGAAATCAGTTCAACATCTCCTCCAGAGCTGTGACCTCAAGTCAAGCTCCAGATACCATGACCCTGATTCTCACCAGCAGCTCTGAAGCACCAGCTCTGCTCCACCAGGTGATTTCCAATTAAAATGCACTGCATCACAAAAGAGCTTCAGGATCAGTTGAACACAGTATGATGTGAACCAGAAAAATATGTGGACCAATGCCAAGTGGAGCAATGATGATGGTTTTAGAACTCTAAAAAACAAAATAGTTCTAAAATTTAAGCTCACTGTAATTGCTCTTGCTTGATATTCAAAACTACAATAATAAGTGCGGTAATATAGTTACAAAAATCTTGATACAGAACAAATGCATTTTTCAGGCCACTTTAATATTGCAACAATGTTATATGAAATCATATTATAAAACTTATTTTTTTATTCAACATTGTTTTCAGGCCCAAAAGGTTTTTCTTGTGATAAGATTTCACTGCTACAGTATTATGTTAACGTCCTTGAACAAATGAAATATTGAAGTACTGTATGAAGAAAGTATAACTGAATGCTGTCAAAACAACAATGAATTTAGCAAAAATCGAATTTTATCTCAAATAAAGAAAGTTCACAAACAATCTAACAATCCAGATTTTTTTCAGCATGCCCCATATTTGGATAGTTAAAGCCATTTGAAATCTATATGAACAATAAAGAAAATGTAGAACTGAGGCTTTCCTATTTTAATTCCAAAAATTTTAGGCAAATAAGAGAGAAACACACTCATGATGAACAGCTTATCCTCTTTTCAACAATTGGTTTTTTCTTTATATTATTTAGCTGAACAGTTTCTAGTTCAAATGTTTTTCTTTCAAAGCTGTTCTGGACTATCTCCTAAAAACAATGAGCAAATATTGAAACCTTAATTGGACTAAATAATCAAGTTATTTTGCCTATTTTTCCAAGTTTAGTGGATATTTCAATTTCATTTTTTGCAATTTTTATTTTATACAATTTTAAAAACAATTTGTCAGGAAATATACTTGATACCAGTATTCATATAACAGAATATACTGTCAAACTTATGTATATTTTTTCATGGAGTACTTGCTGCTTTTGATGAACACTCCCTGCTTCCAACACTCTTTTTGTGAACTATAGCTCTTTGGAATGCACTTTTCCAAAAATATAAGCATACAATTTGTATTTGCAGGCATTTGACATCCCAAGACTGGAAGATCTTTTTGCTTCCAGTCCAGTGCTCACATCCTTCAGCAATGACCAAGTCCCCACAGGGGATGAAATCAGTTCAACATCTCCTCCAGTCACAACAACCACCACCACCACTACAACCACAACCAGCACTCCCACAACCACAACCAGAAGATACCAGAAAAGGCTCCAATTCAACCCCAATAAATCTGCTTCAGCAGCAGAGAACCCAAAGGATAAATCAGAAGAGAAAAAGGTCATCTGGCCCAGAGGCAATGGAGGAGGAACCCCAAAACCCTCCACCACAACCACAACACCTGCCCCAAAGGACCCTCCTTCTTTTGACGATTTCCTCAAGAAATTCCAACTCAAGGATGCCCCAGCTGATCTTCTGCCACCAGGGATAAAAGCATCACCTCCTCCTCCTCCTCCTGTTACCCCCAGAAAAACAACAACTACAACAACAGAGAGTGAACCCTGGAGCAGGTCAAGCAGTGTCAACGCTGATGACTTTTGGGACTCGCTCTTTGACGCCAACCCGGGCTCCATGTTCGAGTCCACAACGTCAAAGAAACCCGTCGTCGTCATCGAGGAGACGACGAAGCGGCAGGAAAGGATGCTTGAAGACTTCGTGAAGAACAGGTCTTCAGGCAGACCCAGACTAGTCAAAAACAACCGCAATCACAACACCAACGATCAACAACACGACAACTCGAAAAACGCGGATTTCGACTTTGACTTCTCCTTCAGCTCCAAGGGCTCGGCATTGAGCTTCAAACCCAACCAAGTCAACGCCGACACCAATAATGACGAGAACGAGGTGAATGATGACGACGACGAGGAACCCGTGCTGATGGGTTCGGCTTCCGGCTCAGAAGCTCCGTCAGAACCCGTGGGCACCAGCGCAATGATAGCGAGCTCTGTGATAGGCAGCATGGCTGCCCTCTTCTTCATCTCTCTCTTCATGATCTGCAAATGGCGGCAGTACCAGCAAATCAAACGCAACATCCGGGTCCCGATTCCTAGGTTCACCAATTTCCAGGAGGACAAGAGCACTTCCGGATACTTCGCATTCCCCGTGGCCCATATTTCGTGACACTTCCGATATATTCTTGAACATCAGCATCAACTAAAAAATAACACGACGGCAGCTGGGAAAAAATCAAAAAATTGAAAAGAATTACCAAATATTTCACCAACAACGAAAACTGACCCAACCCAATTTCAAACATTTGCTGCTGCTCTTTTCACTGAAACGCCTGACCTCCCGATAAAAAAAAAAGAGACGAACAGGAAATTTCGTAGGCAACAACATACGATTTAAATCCCACGTCATCCAAATTGCATTATTAAAATATAATTATATTGAAAAAAGTTTAAAAAAAAGCAGAATCAAAATAGAGAAAGAGTTTTTCTTCAGCAAATTTCATTCGAAGTGAAAGCGATTCAACAATGCTCAGCATTTTTTTTTTCGACTGACGATTATCAAATATAAATGTGATTAACACGAAAAATATGCCAAAAACTTCCATTTTCAGCTTTCAAAATTGTTTATTGTTGTTGACTGAAACGCCTGACGTTCCAAAAACAGAAGAGCAGAAAATTCCGTTGGCAACAACCTCTCAAATCGAACATCATCAAAATTGCAATTCAGTACTAAATATTAAAAAAAAGTGAATAAAACCGTCAATGAAAACGCAGAAAAAAAGAGAAAGGACGTTTATGCAAATTTCACTTCAAGTGAAAGCGATTCAAAAATGCCCAATTTTTTCTTTTGACTGACGATGAACACATGCAATTAAGGTCATTTAGGCAGAAAATATGCGAATCTTTTCGTGAAGTTCGCTGAAATTTTTTCACTTGGTCCTTAGGGTATTCTCAGTTTAAAATTGCATTTCTAATCTTCCACAGACAACATTTTTCGGGGAAAACGGAGGATAATTCTCACGCTCACATTCCAAGAATGAAAACGTGATCAAAACCATTTTCCACAAAGATCTACCAACACTGAAATTCTGCCGAAACAGCAAGAAAATTCTGCACTGAATCAATCAATTCCCTGATTTTGGCAATCTCGAAAAACAAATTCAGGGTTGGAACGCATGATGCAAAATACTCTCCATCTAATCCAATTTGGAATAATTTGCACTAAAAATTAAGTCAAAACATGGGGGGGGGGGGGTCAGGGACACGGTAAAATAGACACATAGACTTCGGGGCTCAACAACTGTGCTCTTTCACGCATTGCAGGGAGGAAATGCAGGACAAAAATTGAGTCAAGTTTTTCAAGTGAACAGGTGAATCATGTTTTTTTTTTTTTTGCATTTCAAGGGGCACAAGTAACTCGTCCCTTTCTCGCGAGGTTTCTATTTTTCGCAGCATTTTACTGGATGTGAAATAAAATTGAACGATGGGAAAACCTGCGGGGCAAAAACCGGGGACTAAATATATTTATTGGTATAAATGCAACGTCTTTCTGAATTTCATTTGAGTTAGGGAAAATTCGAAGAACGATTTCACGTTACTCAAACATGACACACCTTTTTTGGCAAAAATAAAACCACGAAAAGGTGAAATTGAAGATTGTCTATTACATTTAACGTGATCGTAAAAAGAACCATGATAACCCTTTAAAACACGTCTCATTCCAAGTTTTTAGAAAGAAATTGCGAATTTAAAATTGATATCCAAAAATTGTTTTCAATTCCCTGAACTTCACAAATTTTCAAGGCAAAACTATACCCTCACCTTCTTCTGTTCCAAAGCTATTGGCAAATTACCAAGGTTCCCTAGTTCAAGTTCAAGAAAACTTTTATTCCTCCGAGAGAATTTGGCACGGCAAAATGATTTCGTACATCAAGGACTCACCGTATTTGCTTCATCTCGGCTCCTCTGATTCTGGAAAACGTTCAAACGAAATTAAAGTTCGTTAAAAAAAATGTTTTCAAAAATGTTCGCATTCAATTAGTACAAGGTTAGTCCAATAAATGATGATTTGGCACGACTAGTGGAACAATTGCTTCATTCGATGCCGTTTCCACGCACCACAAGGACTAAAACTGAATCGCTAAATTGCGCCCAGGAAAATCAACATCACCCGCAGGAACCAACACTGCGCCACAGGAACTGTTATTCAAAAAGGACAAGAAATAAAACGAAACCAAAAAAAAAAAATCATCATCCATGGCCGACTAGTTTTCCGAAAAACCCCAGAAAGACGCCATCTTGAGTGGGTTTCTCCGCAGATGGGAATGATGGTGGGGGGGAGGAGGAGATTTGCATTTTCAGAACAACTACAGCATCATGGTTGACGGGGTTTCCATGAACTTCTTGAATGCCTTCAGCCACTGGGCTCCAACTGCTCCATCAACTACTCTGTGGTCGCAGCTTAGTGTCACTTCCATCACTTCACTCACTAAAATCCTGGATAATAAACAGAGAAAACAAAAGTGGAGGAATAAATCAATAAATGTGTTTTTTACAAAATCAACCAAGGAAGCGAAAATAAATGGCAAAGGCCCAAAAGTTCATGAGCAACCCTCATTTGCACAGAAACTGTTGAAGTACAGTAATAGGAAATCTTCTGAGTTGATCAAAATAAACATCTGAATTAACTGAAGTGCATTTCTTGGTCTGATAAAATAGCAAAAACATCTGGATCAGACTCGGACAATAAGCTGAACAGTCAATTTTTCATCAAGCGTTTCAATTTTGCCAAGTTATTTCATCTAATGCACAGGAAAAGTTCCTCCCCTTCCCAAAATTGGGAGACATGGAAAATTGTAACATTGAAACATGGCTGAAAAACTACAATCTGCTCCTTTTGTTTAATTTTTCCTAGGAGATGCTAGCAATCAGAGACTAAAAACCCCCAATTGGTGAGTTTATTTAGTTTACAATTTACAGTACTGTATTGTACTTTCAGTCGCCATATTGAACAACAAAAGGAACATTTAATAGATTATTTTGAAAAACATCTCACTTTTCAGCATCCTTTGCATCAGGCAGCGCTTTGGCAGCAGTACCTCCAACAGCCAGGATACATGCTTGGGGTGGATTGATGACAGCTGCAAAATTCTTGATGCCAAACATGCCAAGATTGGAGATGGTGAATGTGCCACCTTGAAACTCTTGGGGCTGCAATTTTCCATCCCGAGCCTTTGCAGCAAGGGATTTCATATCCGTGGCAATAGTGGCCAGGCCTTTCTTATCCGCGCCAAATATAATCGGAGTGATGAGACCCTTGTCCGTGCTCACGGCTACAGATATGTCCGCAGTTTTGTACCTTGAATGCGGAGAAATATAGTAGAAATCTTGTTATAAAGCATTCAAACGTCCCCACATCTTTTTTCCAGTCCCTGTTGCATAAATAGATTTGCATCGAATTTTGCGTGATCATGGAGTTTCCCAGGACATAATTACTTTGTTGTACTGTACCTGCTGCACCAAATTTAATCCACACTGTTCCAGAGATTTAAAAAAAATCGAATGAAAATGTCATAATAAGAATTATTATGCGTACTCTCTGATGAATGTTCCCATCCAAGCAGAATTTGCTGCGGGGATTTTGAGGAGAGCCAGAGCCGAAGCCTTGATGATGAAGTCGTTCACACTGATTTTGATTCCTTCATCTTTCAGCATGTCATTCATCTCCTTCCTCAACCTCAAGACCTTGTCCATGTTTATTTCAGTTTGCAGGTAATAATGGGGGACAGTCTAAACAAAAAGATTTCGATTTTCAGTCCAATTTCTTTACGAAGTCTTTTTTTTCAATTTTGTTGACCAACCTGTTTTGATTCAGTGAGACGCTTTGCAATTACTCCACGAATTGAAGAAACCGGCATGTCCAGGAAAATGCCACTTGCAGCAGGTACAACTGTTCCTGGCATTCCTGATGTCTGGGCACTTTCCACGTCAATTGCTCTAATGATTCCACCTGGCCCAGTTCCTCCTCCAATCATCTGCAAGGCCAAATAATTACTGCCACTAGACGTCACCGCATTCAATACGAACAAGATTAAATTTATCTGTAGAACATGTGCTCAGGAGACCTGCACAAAAATCTTTCGAGAGAGTGAGGAAGAAAAATACTAAAGGTTTCATTCGTAATTCAGAAAGGTCATTCTTGGACTTCCCTTTTCTCATGAATGGAGATTTTAAAACCAGCGTTGCAGTATTTAATATTCTATAAAATTCTACGAAGCCAAAGAATTATTGCTACTAAAAGTTACCACATTCAAGATGGACAAAAATGTATTCTCTCTAAAACAGATGATTAGGACAGCAGAATGAAAATCTTTCTTTGTGAACGTGAATATAAAAGGATTGATACATAATTCATACAAGTCATTCTTGACCTTCCTTCTTTTTATGAAAGGAGATGGATACATTTTTTTAAGGAATGATACACAATTTAAGGATTGATACATAATTCATGCAAGTCATTCTTGACCTTCCTTCTTTTTATGAAAGGAGATGCATACATTTTTTTAAGGAATGATACACAATTTAATATCTTCTGTTGGGAAATTCTACACTGACAAAAAATACTGCCACTACATGTCACCGCATCCAAGTTGGACAAAAATTCATTCTCTCAAAAAAAAAAAGGATTAGGAGATCAGAATAAGAATCTTTCTTTGTGAAGATGAATACAAAAGGATTCATATACTGTATAATTCTTGCAAGTTATTCTTGACCATTCCCTCTTTTCATGAACTGAGATGGACATTTTTCGAAGGAGTGCTTCGTAAATACTGTACTGTGCTTTTAAGGGATCCATTTTTTTTAAACAAAAGAACACAATTCGTGCATTTATATCAATGCGAATGGAGTCTCACAGCCAGATCAATGCCCTTTTCAGCAGCCATCTTCCTCGCTAGAGGACTGGCTTTCACAAAGCCATCAGATCCGACAGATGACGCTGGTCTCGCTGCACCAGCTCCTGAAGGAGCAGCTGTTGGCTTCGCTTGTTGGACAGGTGTCGCTGGTGCAGGAGGCTTAACGACAGCAGCAGCAGGTGCCTGGGGCTCCGGGGCGTTTTGTTTGGCAACCACTTTCCCATCATCCTTGAAATCCTTGAATGCCGCCACATCCGCTTCATTCTCCACTATGATGCACAAAAGCTGCAAATACGAACAACCGATATCTTTCAATTAAAAAACAACAACAAAATGGGCCTGCGAATGCACACAAACCTGGCCTATTGGGACGTCCTTTGTCCCGGCAGTAATGAGAATTCTGGCAAGGTAGCCTTCTTCCGGGGTCTCAAAACCCATGGTGGCCTTGTCGGTTTCAATTTCGGCCAACAGGTCCCCTTCACTCAGCTTGTCCCCCTCATTCTTGGCCCAAGACACAATTGATCCTTGTTCCATGGTGGGGGACAGTGCTGGCAAGGGAATTTTCGTGTGGTTTGGGTAAGTTCCCGAGGAATAGAACCTGGCATGGTTCTGGGCCACTGGCAAATTCTGCCAGCTGCAGGCACATCTGAAATACAGTAAACACAAGCTTGCCAATTGAGATATAATTTATAAATGAATATATTTATATAAATACAGTATATACACAATTGAACCTCAATAACTCAAACCTCCCCAAGTCAAATAAGTCCTAATTTCATATTTCTGTATTTTCAAATCCCTGTCAAAATTCCCTTTGAAACAATGAATTAAAAACCTCCCTGACCTAAAGAATTTCATCAAACTTCCATAAGTGGAATTTTCTGGAGTCCTTTTGACTTTTACAGTATTTCATTGAAACAGAAAAAATAAAAGCGATAAAAATGAAAATTGATAAATTTCGAAAGGGAAATATAATTTGATGCACTTTGAAAGGACATGATAGAACATTTGGCAAATGAACCCATGCTTCAAGTTCAGCATCCTGTAAACTCATTTAAGAAGCAATTTCCTGTAACTCTTTGGTCTTGTTCTGCAAAATCAAGAAATCAACAGAGCGCATGATGAAAAACAGGTATTTATTCAAAAAGATGTTTCTTGTGCAAAAACACAGAATTAATTCCTTCTTTCGGCAAAACTTCTACTGCATAAAATACTTCAGGTGCTGCTGAATCAGGATTCAAAGGCCACTTCTGTCTATTTACCGGTAAAAACAAAAGAAAAAACACGTGTCAGAAGTTTATTCATATTTTCACAGATGTCACTTGAGGAATAATCCCACAAGAATCCACAAAGTAAAATTTAACTAGAAACCAAAGAAAAATTAAATTGCACGTCAGCAAAATCTTCCTTACAATACATAATTCATTCAATTCAAGTTATGCACGTGAGTTAAAAGGGAAAATTGAGATCGCAGTCTCAAATTTCCGAAATCTCAATGAAGACACATACGGTATTTCAAAAACGGCAATATTTTAAAGCTTTCCAAACAGATTAATCAAGATCGCTCAAAGAAACTTCTGCACAATACATAAAAAGCCGGGAACTTACTTTGATCCGAAAGCTCCAACAATACTAGAATGAGGCTGATTCTCATTCAAAGCAGTCACAGCACATACTCTCTTGTGAAAATTGCGAAAACGACACTTCTCCACCAAATTGGCGCTTCTCCCAACCCGCTGCACACTTTTCACAACAGCGACTTGGCACCTGAACATCGTAATGCCGAAGTACAAAAGAACACCTTGGCGCCAAGCACTTCACCAATTATTTCCCCACACACTCCACCTGTAATGAAAAAATCCTTTCGTCAAACCTAAACGTTTCCAATCACCAAAAAAAATAAAGTAAATTTTAACAAAAATAAAAATAAACTAGGTAACAAATGTATTTTTCACTCGAAATCCACGATTTCAAATGCAATGCGAATATTTTGAAGCCTCATCGGCGTAATTTAGCGGCAAGACAAAGCATCTAAACGAAAGTTAGGATTATTCAGAAATTCCCAACAACAAAAGCCCATTGCAAGTATACTTTCCTCATCATTAGGAGAGGAATGCGACCAATTTTGAACCAATGGCGAATGGTTCTCGGGGGAAAAACTGTCAAAGGTTAATCTTGGGGGGTGTAAGACGAATAAAAATACCTCAAGAAAATTGATCTTCTGTCGTTAATTGAAGCATTGCGGATTACCAAATGGCTGAGAGAATTCAAGCACTGTTCAGTACATGTTTTTTTGACAAATTCCGAAAAAATAAAAGGAAATTCAAATCCAAGGACTCGAGTTTTCAACCAATCACCAGAACCTCGTAATTAGCTCAACCACTCATGGAGGCAGCCATTACAATATCACAGAGCAACTTGACTCCAAGACACATCCAACATTTCATCTCAAAAACTTGTAATAAACCATGCCGGCTATAATGATCAGCTCCAAAGCAATGATGCAGATCAACAAAATTTTGTTCTCCAATGCATGCCAGGCCATTCGGCGGAGAATCCTCCGCGTTTTTGACAACTCATCATCCGCATCCCTGAGCCTGTTTCTGGTCCTCGTTAAAGCTTCTCTCTGCTCTCCCAGGTCCACAACAACATCACGGGCAACTTCTTCATTATTGGAGCTTATCTGCTGGGTTCTGTAAATCGAAGCAGTGGTCCTGTCAAGGACCTGCTGACCAGCTAACAGTGATTCGCGAATGCTCGTTGGACCAGACATGGTTTTCACTGGCAATTAAAATCACATTTGCCTAGGAAGCATGAAAAGAAGGAGAAATCAGTACACCACCAACACACGACATATTTCGATTACATTCGCCGATTCCTTGTTTACTATATTTACTGGAGTACCATGCATCCTCAAGTGAGGCAGGCACCTGCATTTTTCGGGGTAAAATTTTGATTAACGTCCATTCCAGAGTAAGTCAGCCCCTCATTTGTTGATGCTGAAAAATTGAGCAATTTTAAAAATAAAATTCATCAGAATTTAAATTTTGACGAATTTTAGTCAAATCAAAATTTAATTTTCCATTGTTTCCATTCTTGAATTTTCCCTTGAAATTATGCAAAGAATCTCTGCTGGATTCAAGTATGACAGGCACAATAGCTTTACAATTTTTCAAGAAATTTCATACATACCAATGACGCAAAGCCCTTTTTTCTTATTAATTTTGAAAAAAAAAGTGAGGGTGTTATGTCAGAACTACAGAATACAATTCTTGGCAATCTAAGTTTCCGAATTTAGAATCCGGAAAATCACTGCGAGATCAATAACAAGCCTATAAGAATACTGAGGAATGTTTTCAATGAAAGTCTGCATTTGGGAAAACTTCTTGTGCACTTGATTTTTTATGCCAAAATTCAAATTCGGCATAAAAAAAAAACCTCTGATTACTCTTCTAATACAATCTCGGACATCATTAGAATTTGTTTTTCAATCATTTTACAAACTGTACAGTACTTTAACTGGTAGCACTTAGACTGCCAGCAAATCTATAAATCATTCTGGCGCAGCAATTAAACCTAATTTTGTCAGTTGTCACAGTGATAAATTGAACATGAGCTCGTTTTTTTTGTGAGGTTTAGCAAATAAACCAGTGGCCTTAGAAATATACTAATGACCTAATAATAGTTAGAAATCACGTTCATCTACATCCATCCAACCCGGACAGAAAATGTATCGCACTTTTCTGAAGGACTACTCAATTTCGGACTGTTCTCCAGACTTCATCCAAATCATAAAGCACACACACACAACCCTTCTCGTGAAAGAAACTCGCGATTCGTCTCCCAAATCAGGCTTCACGACCAAAAAACACAAATTTCAAGAAAACACTTTCAAGACCCCGAAATGGTTGTCGAAACTGAGTTCCTCATCCGCAAAATGCAAAATTCTCTTGAACCTGCTCTCGTCTCCGCCAACCAATTTCCTCATGGTATCGCTGAAAATCTTCTCCTCCTTTTTCTGCCAAGGCTTATTCGGATTCTTCACCTGATAAGGCGTCACATGAACCTCAACTTTCACCCCAGAGTCCACCAAACCCTGACAAACATCGGCTTCCGTCACCCAGGTGTCACTCCCACCCGAGTGACCGCCATCCAACCAAATCATAGTTTTAATCCTAAAAGCAGACTTTCTTGATTTGATTTCCCTCGCGATTTGATTCAAAACAACGCAACCCTTGCTAAAGCCAATCAAGGCAATGGGAAGATCGGTCGGGAATGAGACACCATCACAAGCGTTTGAAAGTAGGGCTTCCAAGTGGTCCAAGGCGTGGAAGTCGGGTACATGAGATGGGGATCCTTCTGCAGAGCATGGTACGAAGTTGTCAAAACAGCTGAAGGTCTTCAGAGTCATTCTATGAATAACAACAATAACTGTTGTAAACAATTGGACATTTCATGATTGTCCCTTGAATTAAACGAATGCCAGTACATTGTAAGCGCTCACTCATGGGGGGCAGCCCTTACAGTACATATCACACAGCAACTTGACTCTAGGACAAACATTCAAGACCTCATCTAAGAAACTTGTAATGAACCAATAGTGTCTCCGAATTTTTAAATCGTCGGCAATGAAGTACAAGGTTGACATTGAAACAAAATCTGCCAAAAACGGAAATTTTCAAATGAAAAAATCAACAGATTAACTGATATGAGAACAGATACATATTGTTTTAATAAACAGAAAAAATAGGATGAAACTAAAAAGATACTAATGTATTTGAATTTTGGTACATTGGACGATTTTTTAAATTGACCAAGTTTGAAAATTAGGAAAGATGAATGTGATTTCCTCTCAAGCTCATTCTAAAAAAATGTCTGCTCGCTCTAATTCAAACTTCCTCGCACATTGCCATGCACACTGATGTTTTATACAATTTATACGTGTTTTTGACTGCTGTAACCAGGAAATTTTGTTATTTATGATTATAAATGCAAAATATTTGTCCATACTGTATTTTCAAAAAAGTTGATACATTTTTGTCCTCAACTCATCAATTTTCCAGATTTTTTAGCCTTAGAAAAGGCAGGAAACATTAATGCGCTTCAAATGCAGCTAAAAATTTCAAGCTCAGTGCAATAAGGAATGGTTGACGAATTGTCGAAGATGTAAAAACGGAAACCTTCCTTAGCTTTCTGGGTATAGGAAGAGGGAGGGAAGGGGGGAGACGGTATACAGTAGTACAGTACTGCATATGAATAGGAAGGGATTGCGTCTGGCGGGATTCATGACAGGGGAGGCTTTTAAAAAGGTTGACAATGGACAAAAATCAGCTCAAATTGGATATTGTCAAATTCAAAAATTCTCAGATCAATAGACATGAAAACAGATAATTGATCGAAAAAATGCTTAGAAATCAAACTAACGATAGTAACAATACACTTAAAAAAGAAACCGATTCAACGAAACAGTGGGCAGAAAAAAATTGATTAAAAAAAAATTCAATTCGGGGGAATAAATTCCCAACAAACCTCGACGGTCTGACAACAAAAACCCCACGAGCCTTTGGAAACTTGTCAGCCAAAATTCTCCCAGTTTCTTCGAGACTCCATTGAACATAGTTCTTGTTGTCCCTGTGTGTCTCCATGTTCTCTTTCCAGTCCTGCACATCTCCCCCAAAAAACACTACACACTCGGTTCCGGCATTCCCGTCACACTTCGTGAAACCCACGTCATTTTTCCGGTCTTGATACCCAGGCACATCCCTTAAGCGAGTCGCACTCAACGCCGCAGACATCTTGAACACACTTAAACACCGCAAAACCTGCTGTTGAATAAATAGCATCACCTGCTCAACAAAAAAAAAGGTGAGACACACAGTCAATGTCCAACGAAAACATAGCGAACAAATCCAATGCAGGTTATACAACACGAGAGCAAGTATCAAAGAGCAACTACACAAATAAAAAGAGGGCATCAAAAGAGTAAGAATATTACCCCGGATAATGAACTTCACGCATGAATAATCAAGCTGCAATATGTGCGCTTCGGATAGTGGACCTCGCTTCGGAATCAATCAAAAATACTGTACATTAGAAGTGCTGTAGAATCTCATAACGAATTGATGCTTACAACGAATTCATTTTTATCCCTGCCACAATGCTAATTGAATTTCGTTTCAACGCATTTTCGCTTATAAGGAAGATTTGTTCGAAGGTCACAAACGCTTCGCTGTAACCAGATTCTACATTTCCCGAAAATTTTTTTCAGCGAGAGATTTCGCTGACGACGAACCTTTTCAATTGCAAAAATATACTTCAGTAATTGTGATCGTGTTGAACATTCTTTTTTTCCGTTCCCAAGAGTTTTCATGATTCGGAAATATTTCATAATAAATTTATTTTGTCACCGATTTCTTGATATTTTATGAAGTAAAAAGAAATGAATCCGGTTGTAACTTCGCATTTCTCAGATTAAAACTTTTTGCGACTCTGGAACCAAAAAAGAAAATCTTCACATTATTGCGTTCGGAAGAAATTCCCTCTTCTGTAAATAAAGTCCAAAGACCGAAGCGCCCATGAATACAAAGGAGCAACAGTGAAGAGATAACCTAAATATACAAACGTAACACAATGAACTTTTTTCTTTCGATTTTTAGGTCATTCGTGAACCAGCTCTTTTGATACTCCTCAAATGCACACCATCAAAAAACATTGTAGAACTACTCCAGACATACAATAATACCTTGTAATCTTTCTCCACGTACTCGTCCGGTATTGTAAAACAAAATGAATGCTCATTTTTTGTTTCCGGGCGCTTTTGACTGCGTCACGTCCATCAACACTCACGCAAAATAAACATCCCGAATCAAAAATATCAACAAACAAAATGGCGGCTTCCTTGATAAAGCATAACTCCCACATAAAAGATCCTCGAACAATAATTATTTTCCAGCGGAGGGAAGAGTATAACTTTTTTTGGCATTTACAGAAAATTGGACGGCAATGTGGCTCCGAAAATTTTTTTTTCCGGTTCAAACAGCACCGTGTTTTGAGAAACAAAATTTTGAATAAAAAAAACACGTCTGGAGTGAAATTACTCCTATCTTTGTTCCCCTCGTTTCTTCTCTTGGACGGAAAACACGAAAAAGTATTATTTTTTTTTTTACAACCAATCCAGCCTCAAAACAACGCGACAAGAAATCACTTCATTTCACTTTTTTTTGCTCCCCAAAAATTTCGAATTTCCTTGTTGGAAAATATCCAAAAAAAAAAAGTTTACAATGAGTTCGTCAAAATACACGTTTTCCTTGCGTGGGTAAAATACGCGTCAGATCAAAAATCTTGACAGATACTTCGTTACTCTCGATATTCCTCATTCTTTTGGTACCCATGAAAAACCATTTTTCTCTCCCGAAAACAAAAAATTAAATTTGACACAAAAATATTCAACTGACGGTCTCAATACCCGAGCTAAGCCACGAATAAGATATTTCCGCAATAAAGTGACCCAAAATTGCAAACAATGTAAACAAAAACTTTTTTCCCTGAAGCACGTTCAAACCAAAAATGGCCTTCGTCCTTATCCAAGTCAATAAAAATTGGCTGCGACTTCCATGTAAGAAAGATTGAGAAAAAAGATCACGAGACATTGAAGTTCAGAAATCACTCAAAATACTTCACAGGAAAAGCTCAAGAAGAATCCGTTTTCAGGAAGTGAAATCAAATATTTCATAAAAACACTTGAAAAATTCTTAAAGGGAAACTTTTTGAATCTTTCGTAACCAACATTATAATCACCTGTGAATTTTTGCGAATACAGTACTCCATTTTCAGAGGTCAATGTAGCAAAAATCGAATGGTTGATTCACGCTCGATAGAAAAATATTTTTTCAAACCAAGGATTTAAATCTCGTTTTCCTGGTCAACCGAAACCAAGAAATGCTCAAGTTTGGAATTCTTTCAAAGTTCCAACCTTTCTTAAATGATTGAAAAATTATTTCGACTGCATTCATTTTTTTCATTCAAAATTCCCCCCGAATTAAAGTACAGTACTTCCATTAATTATTCCAAAGGTAATCAAACAGTAATCTAGGAATCGAAGCGTTAAATTCTTCGAAAAATCATTGGGAGGCCGAAAACACTTCTCCAACAAGAATAAAAACACAACTTTTACAGAAAAGGCACGGGTTCAGTTCTGAAAGATGAAATATGGGGTTCCGTGCAACACAAAATGCATCATTCGAAAATAAAATAAATAAACGGTTTCTAGACTCAAAATCGAAAGGAGGGTGAAGTGAACGCCAAAAATTACACAGAAAAACCCTTGTCACTCATTCGGTTGTCCGTCCAATCGGGAGCTTTTCATCAGCGGTATCAGCGAGGAAGGTGGGCCAGCTTGGCGCAAGAACGGATGTTGTAGTAGCTCAAAGGCAGTGGCCCTCTGGGCCGGGTCTCTAACCAGCATCTTGTCCAAAAAGCCCTGCAATCGCGGCGACACCTTTTGCGGACACTTGAGCTTCGGCGGCGGCATGTCCCGGATCCGCCGCATGGCCTGCAATGGCGGCTCGTTGAAAAACGGCGGCTCTCCGTCCACCATCTCGATCACCATGATTCCGAGGGACCAAACATCAACCTCTGGTCCATATGGCAACCTTTTTTCGTTGCAAGGCGGACGAAAAAAAAGGGGGGGGGGAAAGAAAGAGACACTCAAAATCTGTTACCATCATTTGCAAAAATTGCAATGCCAGAGTTTTGCGCAGTTGAAAACACTGAAGCGTACATTCAAATTCCTCAGTGATATTTTTACGTTCATTTACTTTTTCCAACCGTCCTCGAATCAACAACTTTTTTGCCATGATTCAGGTGACGTCTTAATAGAGCTTAGAGTTGACTTTCAATGTGGTTCATTCGGCCTAGGTTAGACAAGGTGAGCTAAACTTGATGGGGCCAGATTTGATTCAGGCGACACCTGCCTGAAATTTCCAAAAACCTATACACACTCACCTGCCAATTTCATCATTACATTGCAAAATTCATTTTGCTTTCAAAAGTTTGATTTTTTGAAATCAACCCTAGAATCACCTTTCATCAATTCCAAGTTTCAACAAAGAGACTATAATCTCTGAGATATTTTTCATTCGACCATCTCAAAAGATGAGTTACCAGGAAATGTGATTAAAAATGTTACCTGGAAATCACTTCTGGGCTCATCCAATACGGCGTGCCCACTAAACTCTTTCTTTTGGGCAAATCCGGGGAAACTTGGGCACAAAATCCAAAGTCTGATAGCTTCACTCTTCCGTCTGTGTCCAACAGTATTGAATCTGACTTGATATCCCTGTAAAAAAAAAATGTAAATATAAAAATAAATGAATAAATAAAAAACCATAAAGGTTTATTAAACATCAAGTACATCATCCGGTCAACTTCTTTACCAGGCAGTTCAGTGTAAAGAAAAATCACGTATTTCAAGTTTCGTTAATTCCGATTTTTTTTTTCAAGACGAAAATTATTTTTTTCCGACTCGAAAACTTCCGAAGTGGATTTTTTGCTGGTCCTTCGGAACTCAGCTCAAACAGGCTCAAAGTAAAGGGCAAATAAAAATGTCATGGATAAATGCTTTGAATGCAGATGCTTTGAATGCATAGTACTGTACTACACATCGTTCAATTTTACCTGTGAATGACTCCCTGCGAGTGTAAATAGGCCAATGCCTTGAGACACTGTTTGCAAACAGACGCGATTTGTTCTTCGTCCATTCTGGCCCTGGTTACAATGTCTGTGAGCGCTCCACCTTCCAGGTATTCCATGACTACCCAGAGTTCATCTCCCACCAGGTAAGAGTCGTACATTTTGACAATATTCGGGTGATGATAGTCCCTCATAATGACTACTTCATTGAACAGCAGCTCACGCCTCTGCTGCTTCCTCAGATCCATTTTTTTCACTGCCACGTACTGACCTGATGTGTACAAAACAGGACATTCACGAATTGTTCGAGTCAATTTTATTTCTCGTTGAAAGACTTCAGAAATTTTTTTTTGAAGTTTCGAAAACAAAATGCAAATCACGGGAATAACTTTAACAGAATCCTGGTGGATCTCGAATAGATGATTTTTTTGTACTACTGTACAATAAAATATTGTCAAACTGGAACATTGTTTCAGACGGAATAATTTTTTAGAACAAGATTTTGAACATAAAATGGCTGGAAAGAAATTTTCAAGTTAGAGCTGCATACATGCAGTATCTTGATATTCTGTCTTCATCAGATTATTTACTACTGCTCAACAAGCTCGGCTATCTTCTGTATCAATTGCTTTGTATTGAGTATTGTTTTACAATATTAAAATATTGTAATACTTTTACACACGTTCAAACCTAAAAAAATATTGAGCTCCTGATAAAAAGTGAATACAGAAGTAGAAATTTTTCGCTTCTCATTTTTTCCATGTCTATTCTGCGGGCGGTGAACAGGAAGGGGAAATCAAATACTGTACAACCAAATAATATTGCAAAAACGTCGTCGCCATGAATGAAATAAGTCAAAAGTTTTCTTCATTTTTCTGCTGTTCATAACCTTGAATGGTTTTCTTTTAAAATTTATTGGCAAGTAAAAGAAGAAGGGCAACACATGAATGCAGGTATAGAAATAGAAAAATGGGGTCAAATGATGTCCATTCAGCTGAGACTCATGACCGTGCAAAGAAATGGCAGGAAACATGCGCAGAAAAAATTTAGCAGACAAAAACAGGCAATTTTTATGAACTGTAAGCTTTTCTAAGCAATTAATCTACAAGAAAGACGGTCAGTCAATGGAAGCCCTTTCGTTATTAAAATATCATACACAAGATAATTGCAAACAAATTTGAATATTAAATACTTCACTTTTTAAAAATTTTCCAATTAAACCAACAACAAACCGTTGCTTTTGTCCGCAGCAATGCAAACAATGCCGGTCGATCCCTCTCCGATTTTCACAAAGTGTTCCAAATGCTCCCTGGGATCCCCAGGACTGACCACCATTTGCAAAGCAGCTCTGAATTGTTCATGGGACAGCCGCTGCTGCTGCTGTTGCTGCCGTTGTTGGGATTGCTGTTGATGCAATTGTTGTTCTTGCTGCTGTTGTTGTTGTTGACGCTGCTGCAGCTGTTGCTGGTACACGCTTTGGTTTGTTGCTGGCGACGGCGGCAAGTGTTGCGGATACTGAAAATACAAACAATTATGAAGATTGAACGATTTTCAGAACTGTACAGTACACAACTAAACCTTCGGTTACCAAACTTAATTGGTTCTATACAAAAGTTTGTTAACCGAATTTTATTTTCCCCTAGACTTCAATGCGGAATAATTAAATTATTTCTATAAACCCAAAAGACAATTGAAAATTCGATATAAAAAAATTCAAGACCATCAACTCTGATCAGAAAAAGTTGTCGCTTCATCTCAGATGAGCCCAGAATGTTTTTACAGTGTTATATGGAAGTAGCAATAATGAAAACAAAGATAAGAAAGCTTCACATCCACAGAAAGACACACTAGGATTCGTGTCAGGTGAAAACACCATGTCGTTTTTTTTAATGCAGCAAGGAAAGATCAAACAAACCATTCCAACAATTGAACAACTAGAAAAACCAAGCACTGATACGGAAATGATCCTGTCACAGAAAAGCATATACTGTACGAATAATGTAGCTGAAACACAAGATTAGACTTATAAGAGTGACAAGGGAAGAATTTTCATATCAGTGCATCGGTGAATTATTTGCACTTGGATTTTACCATACAATTCAGCCTCAACATAAATTTTAAATTTTCAAATTTGGGAATTCTTCCCGGAGAAAAGTTTGTTAACCGAATTTTGGTTTGTTAACCGAGGTTCCACCGTACTGATCATACAACCGACTCGAAAAAAAAGAAGGAAAAAATTACAGAATTAATCAAGAAAAAGATAAAGAAGTTTCTTTTACAAATGGTACACACGAGCAGCCTGAGTCATTACCTGCGGCGAATGTTCCAGTGGAGGCGGCAGTCGGGCATTGGGCTTCGGCGCCGTCGGTGGTGGCGGAGGCGGCAATATCTCCTCCTGACGCACTTTCTGATGCTGCTGCTGTTGTTGTTGTTGTATGTGTTGCTGTTGTTGTTGCTGTTGTTGCTGCTGCTGCTGCGCGTATTGCCAATGTCCATTATCCCCAACAACATAAGGATTCTGCTGCTCATTCTGTGCCTGCAGTCCCAACGGCGGCGACGGCTGGGCAATCATGTACTGCCCACGCGGGCCAGTCATCATATTTTGTGGCTGTTGTTGCTGCTGCTGGCCCACTGTTGGTCCCACCGGCGCCACTGCGCGGAAATGATGCGGTTTCGGTGGCGGCTTCGGCGGCGCTGGATGAGGATAACGAGTCTGCTGGCCCGGTGATGGATACTGGTGGTGTATTTGTTGTTGCAGTAATAGCTGCTGTTGCTGTTGTTGTTGCGGTGACATCTGGTGATGGTGGTGATGGAGATGGTTGTGCTGGCCGTGCATCAGCGTGTCGTTGCTGCCGTTGTTGTTATTTTGATGATCTGCAAGCTGAGGTTGATTCTCGTTCGGATACTGAGGGCGGAGGTGATGTGGCGGCGCATGGAATGGCGGCGGGTAACGAAATCTACAAAAGAAATACACACGAATTACAGCTGCAATCCTTCCGAAGAACTAAGCGCAACACGGTGTTGCAAATCTGGATTTTTTAAAATTGCTACTACAGTAGCAATTTTTAAAAATCCAAATTTTGCAACACCGTGTTTACTCCAACATCTTTCATCAAAAATAGTCTTGAAAAATGGCTCGCGTTTGACATTCGATCGGAATTTGGATTCACTCTTCAAGTACAGTATTACCATATTCCTTTTGACCAAAACAACTTCAGAATATTCAAAATTTGAAAATCTTAATTATATTTCCAGTAATTTTCATTTAACAGGCACAAGAGCTGAAACTCTAGATGATCTTGAAGAGGCTTACTCGTACTTCATCGCGATCAAATGCAGAGAAAAAATTCGAACAGCAGCTTTTATTTCAATTCCAGCCACCTCTAAATTTTTGCCAAATCCAAGGTACAATATTTTCCTTGAGTGTCAGAACAGATTCCTTCATCCGAAAATACCCGAAAAAAAATCGGTGGTGCGTCGGTATAATCTGTTCACAGTGTCGTAGAATACCTGGTGCATGATTACAGTAATTCTGACCAAAATATTCGTACGGATATTCAGTAAAATCTTATTACAATCAAATTTTCATTCCAACCATTGTTTTCTGGGTCCTCGCAGTTCCTTCATAAGTATCGTGTCATAGCAATATAGTCGCAACAAAATCATTCTCACTCGTTATCCCAACATAACAAATTTGTTGCTCTGATTCAGTCCGTGAACCACAGGCATTATAATGCGATAACAATATCAAACGCAACAAAAACAACGAAAATCAATGCCACAAACCTGGCGGGATCACCGGGAAACGGTGGCCTCGTGGGCTGATGCTGCATGTGCTGCATTTGGGGATGCAAGTGGGTAGGAGGCGGTTGGCCGGGTTCCTCGGGCACCGAAGCCGGGATCCGGGCCAGGTTCTGCTGGCGCATCATGGGCGGAGGGCTCGACGACCGCAGGGAATTGGACCTGGCAATATTCACGACTGGTCGCTGTCCCTGCTGGCCCGGGCCTCCGCCGCCAACTCGACTCTTGCTCGGTCCTCTTACGACAGTCTTCAAGTCCATGGCTTCCGTGGGAGTGATTCCTGTGACGTTGAAAAAGATGAAAATACATGTAATCTAGGGAATCACAAAAAAAATTTTGAAGAACAAAAAAAACGCAGGTTTCGAAAAAAAAAATCATGAAACTTTCAACCAAAAATTCATCCCGCAGTTCAGTATTCTGCGCTTATTATGCATACAGAATACAGTAATTCCTAAGTAATACAGTATAGTATCAACGAAAATAAGATTGCAAGCAACAGAATGTGAACAAATCCAGTCATCGCGAGACAAATCAAAAATTTTAAAAATGCAACAATAAAAATTCACGAAACTTTCAGACAAAAATTCATCGCGTACGGTATTTTAATATCGCTTACTTTTTACAGATATAAATTTGAAAAATACGCAGCGATACCTAAGTACAGTACTGTAATACAGTAGACTGAGTATAGTATTGACAAAAATAAGATTCAAGACAAGAGAATGTGACTGAATCCATTAATCGCGAGTTGAATCAAGAATTATACACAAAATGAAATTTTAAAAATTCAACAAACATCCAACCAAAATCATCGAGCAGTTTAATATTCCGTATTTTTATACATATACAGTATTTAAAAATGAAATAATATACTGTACAGTAATTCCCATCGAAAGTAGAGCATCAACGAAAATAATATTCAAGCCAACACACATATTTACTAAATTCTCACCAGACGGATCCACTAGCGGCGCAGGGCGGTTCTTCAAGGCGGCATTGGCGCCCACAAGATTCTGCCATTGCGGCGGCAAACCGACGAATTTCCCTTCGTTCTGGTCAAAACCAGTGTGAACCCGGTGTTGGAAATTCGTCGGCGCGGAAATCACAGTTTTCTTTTTCTTTTTCGACGAGAACATTTTCTCGTCAAAAAGAAAAACCCGAATCTTCCCTCACGGACGTCAAAATAAGGATAACGGAAAAAAGTGGAAAATCACACAGAACCGAGTCCCTCCCGCAAACTGACACTACAAAAGAAGTTTTCCCTTTTTTTTGGGGAGAAACATATAAAAATCGGTACCTCAAAACATTTTCTTCTTTGAAGACAAACACAGTGAAACTTCCTTCGCAAATACACAATAACCTGCAAAAGAGGGAAAGCAAAAACCACAAAATTAAAAAACTCCACTCCATCAACATTCTTTTGAAAAGGGAAAATGACTCGGAAAGAACATCACAACATGTCGAAGAAGCAGAAACAATTCCTTCCCTTTCTCGAGTATGTAATCTTCCGCAAAAAATTTTCGCTCTTCTGCAAACATTTTAAAAACAAACCGCGAATAAATACGTCAACGCGGTTCAACATTTTATTTGCTTTCTTTCGAAACAAGAACGCACGAACAATACGCAGGCAAGAACATTTTTTTGCAAAAAAAAAGAAACAACTTCTACAAGCTTCCAAATTGCGTAAAAACAAAGTGTGGTTCCCTCTTTATTCTCTGCTCACCGGAAGCATTTTTTCCACAGTTTCTTTTCTGCTGTGCTAAAAATCTGAATTCTTTTCTGGCAAAAAAACTTTAAACTCAACAAATTTTTCTGCACTTTTTCGACGTGAAAATGTTTTGAAGACGAAAACACACGGGTCTTCATTTTGCCTCACTTTTTTTTACAAGCAATTGTGCAGAAATTTCTTCCTCCCCGAAACAAGGTGTTTCATTCTTATTTGTACCTTGAAAGCAAACGGAAAAACCTGAAAAATGTTCTTCGACGGGCATAAAAGAAAAAAAAAACCAATACTGCCGTCTGAAACAAATCACAGACCTGTAACCTCTTTCCGCAAATATTTTTCTCTCCTTTTCTGCGATTTGTTCGCCATGAGTGAACCAACTTCCCTCTCAGAATTACTTATTGTTTTTTTTTTTTTTACAGGGTGATTAGGAACGAAAAACATTCACACACACGCGCACGAAAACGAACGATGAGACAAAAATTGCCTGCAATCGACGCTGAATTAAAATCTCGAAAAACAGGATCATTTTTGAGTTTTTGCAACTGATTTCTTCAGCGATGAATCAGACCAGGGACCGAAATCGTCACGACTCGACCACAAATGATGAAATAAAACAGAAAATACTGAAGTTCACATCCAAGATTCAGCACACCATGAAAAAGTAATAGGATACAGGGCTTCAAGTACCTTATCTGATGCCTGAAATCGTTTCCATCATAAAATCTTTGGTTCATCAACTGACCAACGGAAGATATCGAATTAACGAGTTACATTCATAGTATCTATCCATAATATCTGACTCAATTGCATCGTGAATTCTCAAAAAGATCTTCCCCACGTATCTGCTGAAGCCTTCAAAATTTCTAACGGGATCACAAAATTAGGTTCTCAAAGGCGAAAAAATTTTTATTTCGTCGTTTTCACAACTTTTCAAAAGAAGGCGACTCAACGAATTACAGAAAGATTTTTCGAAAAAACAAAATAATCTATTGAAACTTCACCATTAAAAAATTGACACTCGTTTCTGGCTCATGGCAGCAAAATCTGTGATACAAATTTATCATTTTTGTGGTTCGTGTTCGTTCCTAAAATTGATTCGACCATTTCCATCACCTCTCCATAATTTCCTAAATGTACGTTGTGCAGAATCTCGACATGAGCCTCAACTTGACACTCTTTTCAAGGTAATATTTCTTTTGCTGAAGGACAAAAATCGATTGCAAAGATTCGCTGCACCAAAAAAAAAAAAAAAAAAAAAAAAAACCATCCTAGTTGGAGGGCGCAGGGTGGCTTGAGGGTGGGTTTAACGTAAAAAGAACCAACTAATAGCTTAAACTAACATGCCCCAGTCTGACGCTACACTGGACTGGGACTCAGTTTGGTCTAAGCTAGATTAAATTTGACCCAAGTGCAGTGATTTAGAAATTGTTTCATTTCAAGTGGCAAGTGTGGTGATCATTTTTAATGGTGACTTCACGTGTTTGTGCTTGATTTGGTTGAAGCAATATTAGTAGGTTGAAGCGATATTGAATATTAGTAGAGCATCATTGCGAGTAAAGTATTATTCAAGAAGAGTTCACAAGGATGCCAAATTTATCATAATTTCAAATACAGGTGGACTCTCCACAACAAAATTCAAGGGACCAGAAAAAAGATTGCAGTGGAGATCCCGTAAAACACAGTGGAAGAACCCTATGGAACCAAATGAAATTTGCTGTACAGAGGAAGTCGTTGTGGACAAGATTGGTGTAGAGAGGGCCAACTGGTATTGTACTGTACTTCCATAATGCGCATCAATAATAAACTACAATACCATGTTCTGAATGTTTTTCCTACAACTTCGAAAAGTGACAGAAGATTCGATTCCCTGTAAAAAAGAATAAAATTTAAATATTTTCTGCAATATGTTTTCGCTCTCAAAAACGAAAGAAAAATTGTCAACACATTCCATTTGAAAATCATGGAAATCGTCCATATTCCACGTGGCATGACTGTAGACCTAGTGAAGCGAAATGGAATATTGCCTCAAAACCCCGATTTCCATCTCCATCCCACCCTACAACACCGTACGACTAAGAAAAAGCTTCTCTCACCTTGAAATCAAAACACAGCACCAGAACGACGAGCTTGGGAAACTCCCATTGGAACGAACATAACGCCACCCACCACTTCATAGAATTGCTGGGTAACTCGATTTTTCACAAGAAACACAAAATGATAAAAGAAAACTGCTTCCCACACAAGCAGAAATACAATTTTTGCACGCAGTACCTCAAAAAAAGCCTTTCGTCCATTACGAAACGCCTGGATTACTGTATACTGAATACTGTATCACCCAATGATCAACAACTTCACAATGGCCACTCAACACTTCATGAACAGAAACTGCAGTATCTGGACTAAAAGGAATTTTAAATGAATTTTCTATTTTGTATGTGAGGTCTCTCCAACTTTAGCGCCCAGCGTTTTCAAGAGTGTGAAGAAAGGTGTCACCTGATTCATAAATTGACCTCAATAAAGGTTAAACCGAGAAAATAAATTTAAATTTAAGGTAGGCTGATTTAGTAAAGCAACCACGAGGAAAATGACTAAATATCCAGCATTACACAAAAAATACAATCAAGACACGTCTGACAGCAGAAACAATTATGTAGTCAGAGACGCAGGACGTAAAAATGAACAGAACCGAGGATTCCTAACACAAGAAAAGAAATTCTTCAAGATCAGTTATCACAACCACACGGCCAAGAAACTTCGAATCACAAATTTCCTGGTCACATCGAAAGCGCTGAATCAAGTTAGGATTTCTCAAGGATAATCTCACTTGTGAAGTGCGGAAAGACAAAAACTTTTTGATTTTTCCCATTTCGCCACACGCAAACACAACCGGGTCCGGACGACGCCCGAATGAATTCCAATCCGTCGACACGATCACCTGCATACCATTCCTCACTTCCACTTCTTTCTGATCTTCCCAGCAACAGGGAAATGCCTTTCAACGAAGAAATCCGCTTTCCAACGGCACAAAATATGACTTTGGTTTGTCAGGTAAGTCGAGAAATTCACCAAAAACTATATCAACACGTCTTCCGAAGACGTTTCTACAAAGGATCGTTTACATCTCAGGGAAAAGATGGGAATAAAGGCAGGGCAAAACTTCTTCAGCAGGGCGCTCATGAGAGTCCCTCAGCATACACGTGCATCCTTCAAATTATACTCATCTGAGTTTTGATCATCTTAAAATGTTCATATTCGTATTTCCACAACTAATAAGGAAGTCCGAACATGTTCAACCATAGCGATCATTCAGTACTGCAGTACTGTACTGTATAATTAAATAATTTTTCATCAAGTTTTAAAAGAATTATTCTTCAAGGTTAGGAAAGATGCACATCTCAAGTCCTGAATAATTCTGCATAAAATATGACCAACATTCCACTTGAACGCCAAAACTAAAATTCTATGAAATTAAAAGAAAATTGAATTTTCATCAACAAAATTCAGAAAATTCCACACGTTCTGATTGACACGAGTCCTTCAAAAAGGAAATCATCAGATCAAGAAAAAGTTACATGATTCACGTCTCGTCAGCTAATCCCTATGAAGCAACATAAAAATGGCAGATTCGAATTGTGATTCTTCAAATCAACTGAATCATTTCTTGCACGACGGAAGGCGATTCTTGCAACAAAAAAAACACACATCGTCATTGATTCACGTGATACCTTGAAGAGCAGGAAACCAAGCACTGAAACACTTCGCACACGCCGATGAGGAGAAGAAAAAGGAAACAGCACACATTCCTTCCCCACATTTTTTCTGCGCATGCAAGCCGTCTACGACGAAATGAATCAGGCTGCTTGTGAATCACTCGTTTTCGAGTCCCGCAGGCGACAAACAAAACGAATTCGGATGTCACGTCACCGCGTTCCTTTCTACTAAGTTCGCACGACGCAAGGGACCAGGGTTTTTTGTTTCGTCGTATTTCCAACAACCGATCGTGACACTTCTCGCACGACACTTCCGATACCACTGCGGACACGCGAACGCTTCAACCGCCTTCTGCTTCACTTCTGCGACGTTCGGCACTCTCTGAAATACTGCTTATTTATTAGCCCAGTCACGCAACTACGATTCCAGATTGGGTCGACTTCAAATATTAACTAGGTCGTGGGACATTTCAATGCATGAGAGAAATGTCACTGGATCTTCCGTTACAAATGAAGAAGTACTGTGCATTTTGCGGGCAGATGTCACTGGCAGTCACAAAAGCACATCAAGTGGTCTGACGTTTCATTAGCTTCTGGATTCATGCTGCTCGAGCTCGAGCATTGCTTTAGTGGCAGATCGGGATTCATTGGCTTAGAGGTGAAATCGTCAGGCATTTAAACTATCGAAAACTAATCACTTTTATTTTTTCTCGATTTCAGAGAATTCTACTCGTATCACCGTCGCGATCACCATTTTCGACTCCCTTGTGCATGCGTTCGCTGCAAGATTTGAAAAACTAATTTGAAAACCATTTAAAAGTGCCGAAACACGATAAGCAAACTACAGTGAGCACTTGGAAATAGCAATTCATTGAATGAAAACGAGATTCCATTTGTAGAAACGTAAGAATAATTGCTTTTCTCAAGGTGATTTTAACGTCATTCCAACGAACTAACAAATTACGGTCACATGGAGTGCTAACAGATTAGTTTGACATAAGAGCACACGTTTCGTACGATGGGATTTCATACAATCTCTGAGGCAAAAGTCCGTAAAAACGGTTCACATTGATTGTAAAATATCTTGAAACTTCAGGGTTCTCGCCTCATATCACGCCAAAAAGTTAGCGGAAAAAATTAGCATCAAGGACACAGGAGGAGCTTTTTCGAATTGTGTTACTCATCAGTGATTTCCCAAAACGTGAACAAGTCCTGAAAACTTCGAGAAAAGGATCAGGAACGAATAATTGCAATAATTGAAGAATCGGAACCTTGCACGGAATAAGGACATAAAAATTTATCAACAATTATGAGGAGGCACATTTTTTTCTTTCTGAACAAAAAGTTGAATATTCGTCAGCAAAAAACCATCACTATCGAGGGTTGGGAAATCAACTCACCTTAGCGAATGTCAAGATCATTTTGCCATGCCAAGGAAGTCAGAATTTTGAGGACAGAGAATTGCACCAATACGAATAACGACATTCCTGGAAACAATGGTTGAAAAAGATTAATCACGAGACTCGAATGCAGTTGGACAATGAGTCAAATGGTGGCAATATTCACGTACAATACATTAGAATTCAGACAATCGAGATCAAGTCAGTCACTCATATTTGCTTTTGGTCGGAACGATGTAGAAAGCACCCGTTTTCCCCTTCATTGCCACGGGCGGCTCACGCCATCCTTCCAGGCGCAACCCAGGGCAGACCTTCTGGTTGCCCACGATAAGTTGCTGGCGTCCATCGGGGCCCATCAGTTGGCGCACAGAACAGCCTTCACCAGCTGTTTCCATGGTTTTAGGTATAGGGCTTTGATCACTACGATGTGACGCCAGTAATGCGTGCCGGCCGTAAACGGCTTTAAGATAGCTCGTACCAGTGGATCCGAAAACGAAGATCGTTTCAGAAGGGATGAGCAGAGAACGGAGTGCGTACAGAACCGAAACGATGAGACCAGCTCCTCCGCAAAGTAAAACTCGAAACCGCTTCTGGAGCATTTCTGCCGACAATATAGACCTGAGGGCAAGGAAAACGTCACGAATACAGTTTTCCATTTGAACACAAATCCAAGGAGGTATAAACGAGTAGGTGCACTATTTCTGTAAAAATAAATTATCTCTAAAGCAATTTTTTTCTGGTCTCTTGAATTTCGTTGTACAAAACCCCTAAACACGGCGAGAGGATCTTATCGGACAAGAAAAAATGCATTAAAGAGTACCTGTACAGAGAAAATCGTTTGTCAATATCGTTGCAGGAAGTCCACCTATAGCATTGCCCTTTTAAAAAAAGGGCATTTCAATACCGTATCCGTATTTTTTAAAACAGAAAATGCCCCGGGATTCACTTCCAAATTGCTGAGTTACAAAAACTACGAATTCTCAGGGGCACTCAAGCTCCAATTCCCAATCGCTTCGCAACTTCATCAATAACAAATACATGCATCATGAATTTATATACAGTAATGCTATATATAAATTCGAAATCAAACGGTGTAACCGTGAGATACGCATGATACTTCATTAAATTGTTCTTCTATTGCACGGAATCTCACCTGTTCATTCAGTTAATCCAAAATAAAAATCCAAAAGCAAAGAAAGCAAGTTGCTGGAACTACAATCTCGTTGTCTACAACCTTGCTAAATTCTGAAGGAAAGAAGAGGCAAGCATACCGAAGACTTGTTCTCACCTCAGAAATGCTTCATCTATGAAAGTTTCTCGTGTCAGCGGATTTTCATCGGCCTCTGACGAATCAGCCAAGACGAAAGTGACGGAAACTTTGCCATCTTTCCGACTAGCACGTTCATTCAACTCTTTTTTCAGGAGAATTTCAGATGCTGTATTGTTCGCGTAGACTAAAATGAACTTGCAATTGTCCGCTGGGTTATCCTAGAAAAGGATAGAACACACAGATGAGATCATTCAATCAATCAACATATAAGTGAAGCGGCTCAGAAATGGAATAATGACTATCATTTTAAAAAATTAAAACTTTACGATTATCTCTGATCGAGGGAAAAGAAAGGGAGCGTCTGATTCCCAGGAACGGTTTGATTCTTCGTTCTCCAAATGTATTGAGGCAACGGCACTTTCGATGTCTAGATTTCAAAGCATCATGATTATTCACTTTATTACAATTTCGTTCCTCAGATGATTTTGCTACACTTTTGAACCACGTGTGATTTCAGATCTGATAATGCTTGAATTCCGGTAAAATCTTGGTACAACCGTGCTTTTCAAAAAACTCAACCAAATCATTTTCAATGATGCCTTCACAAAACTGGTTTTGAAAGTTTTCGTATTCAGAAGTGATGAAGTGCAGAGAGATACCGCTAAAGCTTCGTAACTGGAACCTCCTTCAGGCTAGTAACTGCCTACGTCAATTTTTTTTCAAGTCTCTGTCAGGATCCTCTCAGAAACGATGTACAGCATTAAAAACCACCCACGCTCAAACGCTTTCCAGAACTCGAATTTTCTGGAGGAATCTTGGCTTTCATGATTTTTTTTACCCAAGCAAGAGAAAAGCAATCATCAGTATTATGGTTTGATGTATATTGAAAGGAAGTTGAAGAATGATTAGGCAAAAGAACTCTTTCCTCCAAATTGAGAAAACTGTAAACTTTCTTACAAAGCCCTTTTCGTCAAAAAAAATCAATAATTTCCTTAAATTCTTCGTTTTTAGAAAATAAAAATGGTAGATTCCGTACTTAAAATATCCCAAAAACATTTTTCGCTAGTCCCTTCGAATTCGACTCAGAAAGCTTCAAAAACACAAAAAAAGTGGAAAAATCATCCGATTACCGCGTCATTAAAATTCTTCGGCACCTATTTTTTCGTACCACACGTGGAAATCAGACAAACTTCTAACTATACCTATGGTAAACCCGAACAAAATTGAAAAATTTCAATCCAATCCAAAAATCGTGCCTGGATCGAGCGAAGCAACTGGACTGCAGGGGTGACCCCACATCCTCCCGTGATCGCCACCAGGTAATCGAGCGTATCCGGATAATACTCGAATCCGCCACTTGGGCCACGAAACTCCAACGTATCGTCGCCCACCTCCATGACACGCATGTGCCGCGCCATGATGCCATTACGCTCTACACGGACAAGCACTTCGATACGGCCGTAGTCGTCGGGTCGGGAAATCGGCGAATAAAACCTGCGGGAATCACGACTGTCACCGTCTCTCGTCGCTTCTCTCTTCCACACGCGCGTCTGTAAGAAGGGTACATAGAATTCATGCTTAGTTGATGCGAGAGAATTTCAAAAATGCATGTTAATCACAAGGAAGACCACGAAGGACCTGTATGATGACTAAATGAAAGGTCAGGGATAAAAAGTCGCCAACTGTACCATACCGGGTGGGACTGTTTCGCACCTTATCCCGCTTTATCAAAAGTAGGGTAGATGAAAGAGACGCACCATCTGAATGAATCAAACACAGCTACTTAACCTTCTGCGAACCCTCAACAATATATTTTCTTGAATTCCCGCGCGAAAATCACAGGATTAAAAACTAGTTTAATGGCCGCAAACTACAATATTTTTTTTATCAAGAGATAATGACATATAAGACCATTCCTGCTCTTGGAACCGTACTACGGTATTTTGAAATTCATTTAAATCGTTCTTTTTTTTTCTTTCTTTTTTTTGCCTCAAGATCACTACCACGAAACACAGGTTGATAGCCACTGAATAAGAGGTTACATCTTGCTCGACAAAGTTCCTTCACGCTGAAACGTCCACGACGAGAGGGGGACAAAGATTATTAAGAGACAATCCTATGGGTAATGAAAACTGCTATAGGCTGTTTCGATAGGCATGAATGCTATGATACCCATACAATACCAGTATGGATTACTTCTACGCAGGATCGTAACTTCTGAAGAAAAAAACATATTTTCAGAATCAAAACAATCAAAGAATGAGCACAGGCGAACGACAACGGCACACATGTTCTCAAGGGGACTTTTAAAAGGACCACAGCGGTTTAAATAAAAATTTAACGTAACTAACTAGACCAAATTTAATCTTTTTTTCAACTTCTAAACGATGAACAAAGCAAAGCTTCTAGAGAGGTGAATGCGGCATTCCGAGATACAGTAATATATTTTGCAGAGATAGATAGAGAATAAATTAAAAAGTCTGCCAAGAATGGACACCCAATTTGTTCGATTGGGTTTAGAAATTGCAGTCAACCCATCTCACTTTCCTCGTCACTTCAACCTTGCTGCAACATATGTCTAATTCCTCTGAGAGGAAAAGCCGTGCTGAAAATTACGATATTCAAGAGAAGAAAATTTTTTCAAGTAAAGTACTCATTACTACCTGAATGTACTGTCCAGGAAGACAACCTGTGTGGTCCGTCTTGTTTGGCAGCGCGAAAACCATTCGCAACGTGTACGCATCCAACAATTTCTTTTCGGCCAATTTCAATCTGACCCACTTCACGGGATGAAAAGCCGGACCGTGACGAACGCCGTTTTTGTCCGTTTGTTCGATATCATTATAAGTAGTGGGCCCGGTGCCGAAAGGGTTGTCGAAATCATGGCCCTGGCTTTCAAAACCTAATTTGCTCTTTCCTTGTTGTATGTCGGCATCCATCAACATCCTTGAGGCAATTGCTCGCTTCTCATCGCCCGTAAGTTTGTTCATTTCCTTCGGGATAGTCGAAACAGTTAGGTTTTTCTTTTACCTTCGGACAACACAGAAGTTTCTTCGTCATTAGGACAACGACATACAATCAAGTTATGCAAGTACAGTACTTGCATCGCTTGCTTTTAACCTTGTGGCACCTCCTTTTCGACCTAAAATGTTAGAAGTTACGTTTACATCGCTACGAGGGTGCGGCCTTCGCCCGACCTAATTTAGATGAAGATAAACGAAATCGGGAGTAGAGAAGACAGAGCAAATGCTTTCATGGGAAAATAAAACAAACACAGTACTAAACAAGAAAAGAAATTCCAATTAAAAGATCCGTAATAAAAATTATTGTCTTTTCAATTTTAATACCTGTACCAGCACAGGATTGCTGCAAGACTGATACAAATAAAACCAACAAAACATCAGTAAACCACCTATGTGCTTCCCCATCGAAAGTATTTCAGCTTCCAGTCACAATATTTTTGCTCAACTTATCTCTTCCACCGCTCTACCATATCTCGGATTTTTGACTGCGCCCATGCATTTTGGAATTACTGGGGTTTTTAATTCATTGTTCCAAAGGGAATTCAGGTAAAGACTTCAAGAAAAAATTGAGACTTCGGGACGCTCCAGTCATCGAGGTTCAACTGTATAAGCGAATACGAGCGATAGTTTTCGGAATCAAACGAAAAGACGAAAACTAACAATTCATTTCAGCGTATGCAGTTACTGATTTCCAGAAATTTCTGCACGAAATATACAGTCCATCATCGCACGCAGCGAATATTCGCGAAAATACAGCAACTGTTCTTATATCGTTCAACAATTTCACCAACACAAAAATCCTTACTTTGTACAACGAAGCGTAGTCGCAGTGATTTTCATGAAGATCCACAGAGTTTATTCCCGATAACGCCATCTGACCGACGAGCTTCCGAGCCACTTCGACAGACGGGGACATGAGCCACAAAGCTTTTGTGTCTCTCAACAACCGCTCAACGCCCAGTCCCGCGGTATAACCCGATCCGCCGCATGCACGCATCATGTTCGAACACACGTCATCAGACATCTTGAGAAACAAACCAAGAGGAGGGCACGTGAATTTTCTAGAATCTAGAGCATCACGGGATGACGGGAATATCGACCGACGACTGAAGTCCAATCCGGTACAGCTCAACATTCCGACCAAATAAAAAATTAAAGCGCGAGCAAAACGTACTGATCAGCGATAAATTTTGCATCAAGATCAGGAATATTTGTTAATTCCGAAATAATGGTTTGACAGTTTCACACGAAGTGAAACAAAGTAATAATTTCGTATCCCTCCGTTGCGTGTAGGACTATTTTTACATCAGCATACAGATTTTATCAAGATAACGATGGCATTTTAAACACGAGAACTGATTATTGGAAATTTTCCGTGTTCAAAGAAATTTATTTCAAGCCTCAACATGGTTTCAGCCACTTTAAAGCACTCTTAACATGTTTTTCAATCAATATTACATGCTATTGCATTATAAACTACAGTATTTAAAACACGCACCACGTATTCCCGATCTAGTGTAATTACTAAACACTAGTTCATTATTGAAGAAACGAAATACATTCACTGTACTTCCAGACGGGACAGCAAAAAATTACCTGTGCGACAACAATTTTAATTTGATAGGCCCAACTGACGAAGTGCTTTCGCGGTCGATACATGGGATCTTTGTGCTTGGTCCAGTTGTTGGAGTCGGTTTCTGCATCTAGCTTCCGAATGACATCGTACAAGAGGCATCGGCAAGAGTTCAAATTGCTTATTGCATCACCGAAGTAATCCTACAAAATCGATACAAACATTCGATCATGATACTTTTCAACTACGGTACTTTAAAGAAGCCGGCAACTTTCAGAGCATCATCAACAATTTTTAAATTTCAGAACGTACCTGAATAATTGGATATTCCGCAATCCTCTTCCCAGTATCAGCATGGATGCGATTAACAACATGTGACTTCGCTGCATCAATCGCTGCACTGGCAATCCCAACATGAATCGATGACTGGAAAAAATGAAAAACCGGCGCAAAATCGTCCCCCGCAGGCAGTCCATCCGCCATTCGATGACGATGTCTCGTAAGAAGCCGTTCTTCTCCAAGAATGGCTTCGCAAAACGCGGGACCAGCGTGATTACCGTGCATACCCATGGCTCGATATCCTTCAGAACTAGCTCGAAGTTCACTTCGAAACAACAGGAACATGGCGGTCTTCGTGCGCTCCTCCAATTCTTCGGCATCAGTAAAAGGGACGAAGTCTGGATCCGGGGCGCCAACAATGTAAAAATCAGCATACCCAGCGCTCGTCACCCAAGAAATAAACTTGTGCAGTCTAGAAGTACGAAACGGACGCTTTCATCACGTGGTTGTAATCAATGTATACAACTCGAAGCGTATAATTTAAAGCATCATCCACCTCTATAATGGTCGCAGCCAAAGGTTCATCAAAGAACTCACACGGTGCATCTTCCATCGCAAGATTCAGAAGAAGAGAAGAGGAAGGAAAGAAAGCTTCCACTGATGATAGGTCATTAAGTACGATTATTAAATTTGTTGATCCATCATCTTTACAAGAGTCGCTGGTTAGATAATTCTTCGTTTCGAAGTACAGCTCAGAGTTTCACAAGCGTGGAATGCGAGGTACCCCGTTCTTAGATTAACAAATACCAGAGGATGAACTGAGGCCGGGGATTTTAACAGGTAACTGAAAAGTGCAGTACGTTAAAATACAATTTCGATGTACATACAAACTGCGTGCCCCTAATTCTCAAGGATACACTTCAATACATAGGTGAAACTCGATACACTGGTTATACACGGAGACTCAACTCTTTTAGGCGGAGAATCCAACAGGTAGAAAATCCCTGTCAAAGCCAACAAATCAGTCCACGATCTCCCGGGCATTCAGCAATTTGAGGTTTTGTTCATACGAAGTCCACATTTCAAAGCGCAACGCAGAACAACTGACAAGTTAACAAGTCATCCACATGTGATTCGTTGAAAATTGAAAGGATCAAATTCCAAGAAAATTCTCAAACGTTCTGGGAAGATCTTTGACATTCCATCGCATAACTTCAAGTTCAGAGGGAGAGTTCATCACAATCACAATTTCCAAAGTCACCTGAGAAATTGAAAGAAGTTTCTAAAAGGTCCCAAGTTAGCTAGCTGTTACTTTCCGTTAACCGTCTGATGACCAAATAGTAATGATCCATCTTCTCAAAAACTTTACCTGATCCGATTATCCTTCGTCCGAGCTGTTTTCGCTGAAAGGTAGTACCAAAAATGTCCTCCAGTCGTCGGATCACTCACAGCCACGGCACCAATGAGACACTCCGCGTCCAGTCGTCGCAAAAGGTCCTGGACCGCATTATTCTCGAAGTGCGCCGAACACAAAATGCAGGTACTTATGAGGTGCATAGCGAAAATCACGGCAACAGCTGGATCCCCATAACGAGCGATTGTTTCGAGAGCCAACATAGCCAAGAAATTTGAAGCACCGCGACCTCCATATTCGCGTGGAACCAACAGACTCATGTAATTGTGATTCGCTAATATACGCAAACCGTCTCGAGGGTAGATGTAATCATTGTCAACCTGAAAACCAATTGAGCCTTGAACTGCGTGCCACAAAAAGGTCAAAGGGTGCTTTTAGAAGTACAGTACTGTACAGTGCGTGACCAGGCTAAACGTTAGCTATAAAACGCAACTTGGAAACTATGATTGACTACAGTTTACTGCTTTAAAATGATACTCGGAGTGAAATGCCAGTTTATTCTCAGAGCGGTAGTAAATCGTACATGAGGTTAAACGAAGCATATCAGGATTCAATTCTCATCTGGTCATATCTCTTTGCACATGGCCCACACATTGGATCACTTCATGTTGGTACATTGACATGATATCCCCACTTTTCCGTTGAATTACTGTACTTCGAAAAGGCGAGTCATGTACTGTCTCAAAACGTTGCAATAGATCGTCCTAATATACCCAGGTTCGTATGATCTGCCACATTAAAAGCGTACAGTTCGTAAGACACTCACTTTCGCCGCATGGGGACGAATGTGTTTCCGACAAAGTTCGGCAAGCTTCACAACAAAATTTCTTTCTTCTTCGGTCAGCAGCCACATAGGTTCGAACTCGTAATCAAGTCCAAAAAATTTGGACGATCCCCACGCCTTCACAGGTATCTTATCCAGTCTCCATGAAGCTCCAACTGGACGTGATGCTCCTAATGACCGTGGAAGAACACCTCCGGTTTGTCGCCTATCCGGCATTTTCCGAAAATTCTGAATTTACCTCTAACAAGAGTAATGTTGGAATAAAAAGGTACGCAGCGGAAAGTATCTGTGATTTCGAGACCCTTCGTTCAACTTTTAATTCTGTCAAAGAATTCTCAAATCTGGTCCACGAAGAATATGAACTAGAACGCATTGCTCAGAAGAAGCTAACCCAAAAGTGACATATGTAAAACAGAAGAGTAATGGTCACGGTACATGCAATGTATACGAAAAAAACGAACCAAGGGAAAATCGTCTCTCTATCAGGAATTCGGCGAAAATCCACAGCAATCCGAGGTTCGAGTTCCAGTTCTAGCACTATTTTTTCTAAAGCTGTTCAAGAAGCTTCAAAAAAGCAGGACTCATGAGCGGGATTTCGGACTAAACATGTGATAGGAAGCGCTTGTGCGAATATCCCATGTCAGATACCCATCTCCAAAGCACTCAATCACATACTTCCGCTCCAATAATTTTTTGAGAGCAGCACGATCCATTTTCTACGAAGTTATTTTCCTAAATACGTCTTCAGTCGATTTGTATATATTTTCGTGAGTTGAATACGCGCAACGAGCGGATAGGAACATGTTTCAATACCCATTATAATCACTGGAAGATAAGGAAGGGTCCTTCTCTTCCTTGAAGATAACCAATTGCGAAAATATACTCATGTTAATTATTACCGTCACCCCAGCTACAGAATTCAGCACCTTCATGAAGATGTTACGCCCCAACGAACGAGCAGTTCATGACGGCCATGTGAAATCGTCGAGTACGAACACCTAGGACGATGTTAATTCTTTTTCTCCAAATCTTCCGCAGCATTCAATCTGGATAAATACAAAGAATATGATAAGCCATGAATACGTTGAAATCTGGAACCCCAATTCACAAAACTGTACGGGAGTCGGGCGAAGACCACAGCATCGTATCCGAGAATTTCAACGGAGCTCGATCAAGTGAAGCAATGGAAAAAAGCCCGGATACATATATCACATCCAAAAATTTGGAAAACTAACACTGCTGACAACTATTTTCCCCGCGGTTGAAGATAAGCCTCCGCTGCTTATTTTGAGTACTGTGCAGTGCAACATACTGTGTTCTTCGGTGACCGAATGGAATAGCTGTCACAGTATTTTGGGAATTCATACACATTTTACAATAATTATACGATCGAACCGAGAAGTCCACGGCAACGAACCACAACTGAACTTCTAGCTCCACTAAAAAAGAGAGGGTTATAATCCCTAACACACGGATAAAAATGCCATACTCTATGCGTAGTGCTAATGACCTTAAGAAAGAGTCACACATAGTGATCCTTTCATAAAACCGTATCTATAAATTATTACACGGCCCGATTGCACGAACTGACACGATATCTCCATGGATTGCCGTCACTTCGCCCAAATACGGTCGGAGAAGCTCAATAAGAACCAGGAGTCCGTTGTCAGTGGGACAAGCACCCTCGATATTTGAACATTGAACAGGCCGAATAGATGCCAGACAGATATTTCCCTGCAGCGGCCGCAGTAGCTACCGTGACGCTCAACGACAGGTATGATTATCGAATACAACGGATGCACTTCGACCCCGCCCCGTGAATTTGTCTCACTTCTGCGTTCCATCTCGTCAATATTGAAGCTGGTATCGTTAAGTTGTGTTTGGTTCTTCAACTCACGGATGAACGAACTCCACGGCGAAAACATTGCTATGGCATCTGAGAAGTGCCTCCACAATTGCCCAAGCTTCATCTTCCGTGCGATAGACGGCATTCCCGGTAAAGATCAAAATCAACACAAGATTTACCTCAACCCACTTGCGCATTCTCTCAGAACAGCCGGCTTTCAAACGCGCACTCGCACCGGATAATTAATTAACTTCACCTCAGACGAATAACAGTTTTTTCTTGCTTGTTACGCCTTTTCCCGCGAATTCCCGGATTCGGAAGGAATGCAAGGCATGCGAAACCCAACCTTTAGTTCGCGGGGTTGACAGGACAATTTTTTTTGTTCTGCCCATAATTTTAACAGATGTCACTCACCTACTGCTTTCTGGAATATGGAGCTTACCTCCATCATCAGATGTCTGTGCATCTCCGCAGTGCGTTTTTAGTTTTAATCGTAGGCAGCGTTTTGGCGTTCTGAGTACACAATAAAGGTACTGTATGTTCAGATCTGTCTCCTATTGGTGAAAAAGTTCCTGAATGCCAAACTCTCTTGTCTACTCTTCTGCCTGTATTTCCAAACTACATTTTCCCTTTCTATTATTGTCATTTCTCAAATGAATATACTGTACTGTAATATCATCTGATGGCTGATTAATATACAGCCTTAAAGGAATTATTGAGGCTCCCTTTTTTGGCAATATCAGTGATGCTAATAGACATACAATAGTAATTATCTGTTGATGCTTCCATTATTAATGCATCTCTAAATACTGTATCAAATCTACAGCTATAGGTTGACCAGCAGTATAGTGCAGTACAGTATAATAAGAACGAAAAAAAATCTTCAATGAAGAAAAATTATAATTTTTAAACAATAACTAACCGAGACATGATGGCTATTACAGTATTCTTTTAAATTGTAATGCTTTTCAATGAAATACAGTAACAAATATTTTTTTTTAATTTTCAGGTTTTTCTGAATTATATGCTGGTTTCCAACTTAACCGATAAACACGACACAGAATTTAATTTTAAAATCACCAATTTTGAGTGTTGACTTTTCTTCCCCCAAATGCAGTAGAAAACAACTTTCGTGCAAGCATTTAATAAATACTGTATAAGCATATATATGAATATGAGCTTCTTGCGTATAAGAATAAGAATAAACTACACTAGAAACGCCGGAATCCTCGCAAAATTTGGCACATATCTTTCTCTCTCTTTATTTCTGCCTCTAATGATAGTGTGACTGTTGTGGTCTTTATGCCAGTGATTGAGATTTGGTGTGTTTAGGCTATAAAGAAGTCGTGTAATTTGTGTAAGTTTAAAAGGATGAGTATGATTTAATTTTAAAGAGAAAAATCAAATCTGCAATAAATACGAACCCATTTTCAATATTACTATCCAAATATTATCCAGCACAATATTTGAATTTCATTCGTTATGAACAAAGAATCGAACGCTTTTTCAGTCCCGTGAAATAATTCAAAAACATCATTTGCAATTTTAAAAATCCTTCTACACGCTCCAGAAGGAATGCGTCAAATTTCCAGTAATTTTTTTATGGGAATAAAAAAAATGTCTCTCCAGTGCTGTGACACATGGCACATAGGGTTTTTTTATTTCAATGTTTTGTCAGAAGACAAAAGATAAATGAATAAAATGGTGCTAGTTTCCCGCTCATCATGTATGTGCGATTTTTTTGGATGCGCACTTCAATTGACACGTGAGGAAATAGAATTCACGATGACTAAAAAACGAGATGCAGAAAAGTGTATCATTATTATTTTTTGCATCATCCCACAGCAAAATACCGCGAACAATAAAGATGGCATGTGAATAATAACATTACACGTGGAAAAATGCATGGTGTATAAATCCAGTATATTGCTTCGAAAAACACTTGAGGGGAAAAAAAATAGAAACAGCAGAGATGTGATGAATTCATCATCCTCGTTCATGTGTCACATTTACGAACTTTTGTTGAAGAGCTGCGTAGATATGACGTGAATAAAACTCGCAATACATCCTTTCATTTCTACAGTTGAGCCTTCTGATGACTTACTGACGCTTCAGATCATCTGACTGTGATAAAAAAATTCCTGTTCACTAAACGTCAAACTTTCTTCTGTTTTTTTTTTTTTACAGATGAAAAAAAGAAAAACTGAGAAAATTTGAATTTCAGCAGAAAGCGTCAGTTTCAGTCAATAAGAGATACAAAAATCATTGCAGGATGCTGAAATCAATATCCTTCTTTTTTGTTGTCTTCCTGTTTCTGAATATTCTGTGAAACATTTGCCCATGGTAAAACACCAAAGATGAGGATGAACATCGTGAGGCAAACGCAAGAATCATCAATGGTCACATGGTGCCAGCAGACAGGAAACTTGCACCAAGGATGGTTCAGCTATGGATTGACCACAGATACTGCACATGGTCCCTATAATGTGGTCATTCTCATGATGAGGGCGGCCTGTGTCTGCTGGTTGTGAGTACAGTCTCTGAAATTAATTCAGTAAAATAAATAATCTATTCCAGAACGAGTTTTATTATACAAAATATATTTGTAGAGCAAAACATGACTTACAGTACGTAATTTGCCTTATCATAACTGAAAGCATTTTTATCTGTCCCAGAGATACTCAGAAAATCTTAATCTCAGCTCATGATAATCTTTGTACAGAACAGTATTATTTCATTGCGTTATTGGAATAAAAACAACACTTGAAACTTCTCAAATGCAGGAATTAATTTCTTGAAAACTGAACAGATTAGAATATTGTTCCACAGATTATGGTTTAATTTTCAAAATTTCTAAAACTACAATATTTGGACTGAATACTCGTTAGAAATTGTGAACAAGTGACTGATGCAGGCCCCCCTCCCTCAAAAAAAGTTTAATTTTTCTGCGTTGACATTTTCCAGATATTTAACCATAGATCATTTCTTCATGAGTTTTGTTATTCAAAACATGGTTTAGTTTCCATTATAACCGCAAACCTTTTGATCTGTTATATTCCAGATAATCAACAAATTTCATTCCCTATAATCCTAAACCATTAAAAGCTTTATATTTAGCCCATTTTGGAACAAAATCATCATTTGCATTGAGGGACATACAAATTGACATAATCATGCAAATTCTATGAGCGTCACCAACTATGTTGAATTATGAAAATTTTGGGCCAGAAAATAAAAAACCGCTATGTTTCATTAATGAAAAGACCTGGAGTTTAAATTTGAAGCTTGCTACGACTGGCCAGGATATTTTTAAAATTTGAAACTACTTTTTTCAACCAAAAAATCTACCATCAGTGCTGAATTGAATACCTGTAATTTATACATACAAGATAAAATAGCGAAGAGCATGGAAAATTTAATTTGACATCAACCAAAATTCAAATGAATGAAAAATAATCATAGATTTGGAACTTAAGCAGACATTTCTGCTTATATTGTGCACTGCCCTTTTTTAAGTAAGAAGTGAGGGTCACTCATGGATGAAGAAATAACTGCACTAATTCAAGTTTCTGCATAATCTTTGGTCTACCAAAAAGTTCAGATGCAAAAGACTGTACGGTATGGACCACTTGTGCGCATATATTTTATTTCTCTTCCTCATTTTTCTGTGCATGATCATATTTACAAATTCAGCCATCAGCATATGTTTTGATTTTTGATGAGCACCTATCACCTATCTTGTTTCATTTTTCTGTATCATCCTAACAATTATTTTTTCGCTCTGGTTTCAGGGAGCTCGGCCAGTTGGTGCTATTAAAAACCAAGAACATTGCTTGCCCCTTTGGAGAACTGACAAGAACACACACAGGGAGACAAATGTGCAACTGAGGAATTCATGGAAATACAACAGTACTGTATAACAGAAATAGCATCAGGAAGCATTCACATTACAATAACCCTGAAGTTGCCATGATTATAATGGTGGAAGATATTACTGTATTTGAGAAAGCATATTTCACCTTCAACCACTGCACCAGCACATGCACCAAGATTATCATTGGCTGTGGAAGAACAGAAAATGATGGTAAGTTTCCTGAATTTTATAAATTTAGCAATTTTTCATGCATGGCTACCAAACTTTTGGGAGGCATCCAACCACCTAAATGGTGATCTGTGAAATCTTTCTCTGAGTAAGATGTTGACTTATTTTAAAAACATGAGTTCAAGAAAATTCTAAATTCAACTTGATAAAAATTTAGTCCAGTCAACCCCTGCACAATGGAAATCCTGCACAACAGATTTTTGCACAAAAGACCACCTCTGGATGAGGTGTTTTTCTCTTCTGTATGCTATGGACTAAATCCGCATGACAGACTTTTAATTTTACATAATTGAATATGCTTAATAGAATTTTCACACAAAATACTTGTCTGTGACACAAATTCTGGGGGTTGGCTGTACTCAAGACAAGTACTTAACAGTTATTTGTTATTTATTTTATATCTGTAATAGCTGTTATTTATACAGTTATTTATTTTTTATTGTTATTTGTGACCAGAACCTCTGGGGGTCCTTTCTAACATTAAATAAATTAATGGCTACCCTGTGTCTCAAGATTTATAGAATTAAAAACAAACCAAAAGTGGTTATGAATAACTGTTTACAAATTTCAGGAGGACTTGCTGCTTGTGGAGACTAGCACAGCTGAAGCAGGATCAACTGAAGTCTGCGGATACTTTTGAACCTGCCTCAAATCTTCCCTCAGTTCTTTCAACATGCGCATGGATTATGTCACCAAAAGGACATATTCCACTCACAAAATTCCAATATGCCTTCAGCAGTCGAATTATTTTGTTCTCATTTGAAAAGCTGTGAGCACCTGTAGTTCCCACTCTATTGAATTGAAAGCATGAAGGAAAGTTGCCATCGTTTTCCGTGCTACCCCAGCCAATGATATTCTTGGGGTATGTGATGGTGCACGGGTTTTTGCCAAAATGTGCTGTGTAATTGTAAGTTCTTTCACCAAATTTGATCATGGCCACTTTAGGGTTGTAATTAGGGTGCATCCTCATGCTGCTTTTTACATCCTGTAGTATTTTTTTTTAGAAATTCTCCTGTTGAACATTCATCTCCCTGTATGGGTTCTTGTCAATCCTCCAAGTGCATGCAAACGCAAAATTTGTTTTTGTTTTAACCAGCCCCAACTGGCCCTACCTGAAACTATACTTGGTAGGATGAATCAGGATGACAGGAAATCCTGTTTCAAATTGCATACTTTGCAGGAGAATACCGTATTTACTCAAGTACCAAAAGCAACTTTTTTCTAGAAATTAAGGCAGAAAAATAGGGTGCGCGTGGTACCCGGGGATAAATTTTAAGGAAAAAATTCCCCAGACCAGTGCCCAGTGCCTCTCACATACAGTATAAGTAAAAAATAAAAAATAAAGAGGAAAAGTGTGGCGCCAAAACTCTTCCTGTATGGGGAATAATGTATCAATTTGTTTCATCCCTTGGAGATGCAACAGGAAATAAAGGAAGAGGGTAATATTCATCTAATTGAGGAAGCTTTCCTACATTAAAAATGCATTTCAACTGCTTCTGGACATGGAAAAAGACAGAAACACAAAACATTGATTAGGAAAAATGAATTTCAAAATAATATCACGTTTTTTGATTTTCAGCAACAAAAAACCAGGGTGCGCGTCTTACACCGGGATAGGTTTTTGAACTAATTTATGGTGAAAAAATGGGGGTGCGTGCCATATACTTGAGGGCGCGTGGTACTTGAGTAAATACAGTAGTAACGCTAAAAGCACAACAAGATATTGGTTTATGTTTCTGGGGATGTCAATGCAGAACCAAATTTAATGTTTTTTGTGAAAGGGGGAACGAATCACCTCTTCAAAATTTCAAATGTACATCAAGTTGGATTATTGTGTTCTTAATCGAAAATTTTTGAAAATGGAGACAAAATTAGTAGAATGACTCGATCTGTTTTAAATTAAATTATCTGCTGAGTTTAACAGGATACATAATGGGTTCAAATGATGATTTTTGTTCCAAAAACGCAATAAAATACAAATGATTTGATGCTTGGTCTGAAAATAAGATCTTTTGAGCTTCTATGGAACAGATTGTAGGGCTTTCAGTTATAACGCATGGTAAGTCAAGATTTGCTCCCAAAAAAAATGCTTAGCATAACAAAAAAAAAAACTCATTCTGGAATGCATGATTTATTTTATGCACTGAATTCACAGACTATACTCACAGCCAGCAGACACAGGCAGCCCTCATCTTGAGAATGGCCAAACTTTGATTTATAGTGACCCTGTGCAGTATATTTTGTCACTATACGAATAATTGCACCATCCATGGGGAAAGTTTTCTGTCCAGCACCATGTGACCATAGATGATCACTGGTTTAGTCTCAAAATGTTCAATCGTATTTCTGATGTTCTACCATCATGGGCAAATGTTCTAAAGACCACTAGCAGACATATGAAATCAAAAAAGGAAAGGATTTTGATTTGAGCATCCTTCAATGAATTTTGTATCTTGTATTTACTAAAACTGATGCTTTCTGTTGAAATTTGTATGTTCTAAGTTTTCTGTTCATCTGGGAAATACAAGGGAAAAGCTTGGAGTTTGAAATTGCTTTTTTTATTATGAAAGACAGGTATGAAATGACAATTAAGCAGCATCATCTGTCAAAATGAAAGAATGCATTGTGGAAAGTTTCATTCATTTCCACCCACAGTTCAGCACAAGTTGGGAAATGTGACACATGATCAAGTACAAGGAATTGATCACTTATCTGTCATAAACACATAATACTGGCTTTACCCAAAGTCCAAACTAAAATATATTCAAAGTCAATGTGTGGAATTCAACGTTTAAATGTATATTATAGTAAATATAGTATACAGTATTCTTCTTTACATTGCCAAATTGAATACAGAAAAAACTTCTTGGAAACAGCATTGCAAATTAGCAGCAAATTTCCAGCACATGCATACAACGTATATATGAGAAAGAAATTCGATATTGTTCTAAATTATAAATAATATTTCCGAGCTGTACATTGCAAATAGAGAATTTTCTTAGTTAAATGTGGCTGCGGCCATTATTTAATGCCATACAGTAAATATTGTATAGCTGATTGAAAGCGAAGTATGAAACAAACCAAAACATATAATGAGGCAATTATATTTTCTTGTTGAGCTTGAAAATATTTATCCTATTCTCCACTTTTTTAATTTCATCGTAAATTGATCCTTCGATGTGCCTAATACTTGCACCAAAATCTAAAAGTTAAAAATACTTTTCTGAAGATGGAGAAACTTCTCCCAGCATTTTTGGCCTAGATTATTTTCAGAAAGAAGTGGTATATGTGGTACACTGCTACTTGAGTAAATACAGTGTTTTCAATGAGAATGCAGTATTCATAATAACAGGTACAGTGCTGTGCTTTGGATACATCACAAGATAATCCATAAGAGTGGCATTTTTGACAAAATAATAATCCAGCTGCAGGGTGAATCTATAAAAGATGTACCCTGCAGCTGGAAGAATCTCTCAAAAAGTTTTCAAAATATTGTATTTAAAAAAATTTCCAATTAAAATAGACCTTTGATGAAATTTAACCTACTAAATGAGAAAATTATTTGATCTTCATAACACATAGATTTTTCTTGCCATTATTTGTATGTTCTTTCTTGCATGCTTTCTATGTAAAATGGCTAATTTTTTTTTGAAGTCAAACATTTGTTGGCTTCTCAATGTACATACATTACATGCAGCATCATAGCAAAAAAATGGTTTCTTACATTTTCGTTTTTGAGTTGCAAATATACATGGACACACAACATACAAACTTTGAAAGAAACTCCCAATTGTTATTCATAACAGTAGTTTACACCAATGAATCAAAGCAAAAATTCGACGGACTTCTTGGTGATATCGTTTGGGACAGCAGGGAAAGGTTCCAGATCAGCCACCACGTGGGAAGTGGAATAGGATTCATCCAGGCTGGAAGTTTGCAGTGAATCCATCCACACACTGTTTCCGTCAAACAGAAGCGAGTCAAACCAAGCAGTTTCAAGACGCAGGAAAGGAAACTGAAATATGGACGTATTTTTAAGGCAATTAATGTCAAAAATGTTCACAAATAAATGAGGAAATACCAGTGGCACCTAAGTTAAAATTCCTCAGTACATAGTAGAGAAGCCATTTTCTCACTTTGACACGTAAATTAAAGCTCAAGTTTCATGAACTGGAATATTCTTGGTTATGTAATGCATTTATGTTATGCCTGTCAACTCGTTTCATGAGTTGACACCAGGATGCTGAACTTCGAGGGAGGGACTAAATTTTACCCAACAAGTCCTTCCTTTTTTTCAAAACACATGAAATCATGTTTTTTATTGCTTCTTTCTTTCTTATGTCAAAAAAGGACAAAAAGCATCCAAAAATTCAAGTTAGGTTTGAGAGGAAAAAGCTTTGAATTGGGGAGGTTTTTATATATTGTTCCTAGGGGAATTCACCTGGGGGCTGGGACTTGGAACTTAAGGAGGCATTACGGAGGTTTGAGTTATTGAGGTTCAACTGTACTGTAGAAGTGTGGGGTGTGTATGGCAGTGTGTAATTATACATTGTTGAAACAAAACAAAAATTATGAATCCAGTGAGGTGCAAACTTTAAGTGAGCCTCTGTATGTGGAAATAATAAGGAGAGCTTTTAATTGACACCAATCCTACTAAAATGCTCTATTCCTAATGCTTTACTGTACAATATAATCTCACCACAACAAAACATCTGAGACATTTAAAAGAGCTTTATTAAAATCAAAAATTCATTGGAACAACATTGAGATAGTATTTTGTGGCTATTGGACAGGCAACAAAGGCAAATTTTTTGTAGGCATTACTTTTCGTGCCAAGATGCTTTGTACAGCAACAAGTTTCTACTACTGTATTTATTCATTATTTAAGGGTTACTCTTTTTAACAATATTATTGAAAAATAAATTTTGAACCAATAACAACTGGCATGTGTCTCAGGAGGGGATACGTTTTTTTTTTTTTTTTTCAAAATTCCACACACACACACAGAAACTTGCTGAGTGTCTTGCTCAAAGACATGTGGTACTCAAGCAAATATGGCAAATGGAATGTATTGTACTTGTCTCCTGTGTTGGAAGTGTTGGCCTGCTTTCCTTTAATCTTGGTATACATATCTTTTTCAGAATTTGTAGACTATATGTGCCAAGTATGCCATAACAACTGCCAGAAGACAATAATTTGCAATTACTGTACAGCATTCAATATTTCAACACTATATAGGACAATTTCTGAAGACGCGCGCTGCCTCGAAATGACACACTTCCTACTTTTCAGAATTTCCCACCCGGTTCAGAAGAAATGATTCCGGCTTGAACACGGGATTCCCACTGAGGTCGAGTCGTCGAATATTGTCGACCGCAGCCAGACGCAGAACAGCCACGAAGTCAATCAATCGAATTCAGAATTTCCCACCCGGTTCAGAAGAAATGATTCCGGCTTGAACACGGGATTCCCACTGAGGTCGAGTCGTCGAATATTGTCGACCGCAGCCAGACGCAGAACAGCCACGAAGTCAATCAATCGAATTGCATTCTTGGACAAAAAGCAGTATTTCAGTCCTCTGAGATTTCCGATAGGTGGCGGGATTCGGGTGAAATTATTGCTACTCAAGTTCAAGTGCTTCAAATGCTGGAGTTCTCGGAACGTGTCTGGAAGCCAGGACAAAGAGTTGCCAACCAGCGTCAACCATCTGATGATAGAAGAGAATTGAAACTAAGTAGGTTCTCCAGAAAAATGGTCTCATGATCAACAGTGTAATACGCAAGGAAAATAAGTCCAATCTAATGTAGCTAAGATATTCAAACCATGAATTTGCATCAGTCACAGCATGAAGGCATACGTTTGCAAAATTCCCTGTGAGTAAGAATAACAATAAGTTATCCAAACTTCTCCAAAAGATTATTCAACAGATTATTTTAATTTAACAGACGCCTGTTTGGAAGGAATTTTGGACTGAAGTTTAAAAGTTTTTTTGAGCAAATTTGAAGAAATTCTCTGCCAAAATTAGTCATTTTTCTTTTTTAACCTATTTTAGCTGAGAAACTCATGTCAAGTTTGCTCGGTTAGCTTTGCATATTGCATTGCTTCAGTTTTCATTGCATTTTTCTCCTTTGATGCCTTATTATTTTTCAATCAAGAGTGACAGCAGGAAACTTTTAAATTTTTTCATAGATTACCACACATGAACCATTTCCTGCTGGCTATATCCACCTGAGAAGAAAGCTCCTAAAATTGAACCCTTACTTGGACAATATTTTAGGACTGCTTCAGTGAATCCTCAATTTGTTATGCCCTTATACTAAATTAGCACAAAACAGAGAGAATTGAGTAGTTAGGCTCTGTTCACTTCTTGTTTTGCAGTTTACTTTCTTATACAGTAGTGAATTCCTGTCTCAGGGATTGCTGTTTGATCAAATATCTACCAAAGGACCTCTTCGCGAAACCCATCAGCAGGATGTATTTTTATCTAGGGTAAAGTTTTTCATTTGGTGCAGCATTTCACTTTCCCAAATGGTCACCAAAGTAACATCCAAGTTGAGCAGAGGAGTCTTTTTTTTTTTTAACAGTAAGCTGGGAACATTTCTTACAATAAGGCAAACATAAAGTTTTTCATTTGGTGCAGCATTTCACTTTCCCAAATGGTCACCAAAGTGACATCCAAGTTGAGCAGAGGAATCTTTATTTTTTTTAACAGTAAGCTGGGAACATTTCTTACAATAAAGCAAAATTCAGCTATCTACATTTGAACATGTTGAACAGGACTCAAATCATGATTGAAATAGCAGAATGATGAAGCTCCGTTTTCAATTAGCTCTTATTAGTAGCATGAATATCCAATAATTAATACACTGGCCTGTTTTTAAGATTCATTGAGTTGACTGGTGAACTCATGTAAGTAAATGTATTATGTTAATTGTTGAAGGTTTAAATTCGTTTTCCCTCTGTTGTCCTAAATTTTAATCAGGAATGTTGAAATAAAAATTTCCGAGTCATCAGGAAAAATCAAGTGATTTCCTCGTTGGCTCACGATTAGTCAAAATGTTGAAATTCAAGGTCATGACAAGTTCCTTAGCATTCATAAAATGTGAACTTATTATAAAAGACCGTTTTTTTCTGATGCTGTTTTGAGTGAAGAGTATTGTAAATTAAGGTAATTTTTGTGCATTTTCCATTGATGGGCGGTTCAAGAAAATTTTTGAAAGATTTCAATAACTGCTAGCACCATGACTCTTCCACATAAATTTACTCCGTATCTGCTGCAAAACACCGGGAACTCTGAGAGGAACAATTACAATACAATATTAGTGTACCTAAGTCTTCGCAAAGCGGAAAACTCATAAGGCAGGGACTTGAGCTCGTTGTGCCTGGCCCCCAGGGTCTCCAAGTTGACGAGTTCGCAAATCTCCTCGGGAAACGAGGTCAAGCCGGTCCGATTGACCCACAGCACCTCCAGGTTCCGCAACTGTCGAATGCTCGCCGGCAACAACCGCAAGTCGTTGTTGCTCAAATTCAAATAAGTCAAGGTCTCCAGGTCCAGGACCTGATGCGGGAATTTAGTGAATCGGTTCTTGGCCAAACTCAGGGTTTCGAGTTGCGTCAGCGTCTCGATCCCGTCGAGCATCGACAGTCGGTTGTCATGAAGTAGAAGGGCTCGGAGTTCCGCACATTCGGCGAATGTGACAGCGTCGATGCGTCGAACGTGACGTGACGACAGGCGAACGTACGTGGCGTCATTCCGAGCCGCATTTGCCAGTGTCCGCTTGGCGTCCTCGTCCGGTTCGTGAACTCTGCGGGATGACTGCTGGTCTTCCGAAGAAGATGACATCCCTGTTGGAAAATATGTTACTTCTTCCATTCATATGTAAGCATGTTGAACAGGTGTCGCTCTACGATCAAGTTGAGAATTGTTCGTCCGCTTGCCCCTTGCCCCACCGAACACGATTAAAAGATGATTCTCCTTTTATAGAGAGGAGAAGACATCATGATCGGATCGCTTATGATGTCTCGTCATGTTGAATGTACCTGTCTAGTGAATGGACCTTTTGCTAGAGTAAATTGAAGCATTCCACCGATATGTCAATTGATGAACCATCGATACCAACCAGTACTCAGTCGGTAAAGTATCTGTCAGCCATTATAGTTGGAAGATGAATATATTCACTCAAAACTTCAAAAGCAACTCGTTTTGGGAAATGGACTCGGGAAATTTGCGGAATAACTAAGGCACTTCATCATGAGGTAGGAATCGGAATTTGAAGTTTATGTTATCATTGTGAAAGGAGTTTTAGAAATAAATATGAAGTGTAACGAATATTCAAAGAGGAGCCACTAAAATTCACCAACTTTCCCAGCAGTTCATTTGCATCAGGAGTACAATATATTGCCAACTAATTATTATTTGAAACTAATAAATTTAATGTTCTTTCATTAGGATTCAACGAGTTTTGTGTCTTTAGAATGTTTGATGCTTTCAGAATAATATTTAGATCACTTACTCCCCCCAGAAGCTTGGGAACAAAATATATACTGTACTCTGACGACGCGAGATAAATATAATTGAAATTTTCAAGTGAACCACATTTTATCACAGCTCAAGTGCTAGTTCGTGTAGTGCAGCAAATTTTTCTTTAGCTAAATTTCTCACAGAAAAATCGCGAAGTATTTAGGATCCCAAAACAGTGGGCAATAGAATCATGAGTAGACCAATCATCTGATCGTTTCCACTCGGTGGGAAAAACGGTCACCTTTTTCACATTTTGCGGATGGGGTGGGAAATTTTCTTCTGAATAACGGAAAGGTTCTTTCAAAATTGTCACAAACAAACACCAATAAAAAAAATGAAAAGAGAGGCTTAACGGTTAACCAGCTTGAAGAGCAATGAGGCGCAAGAAATATCCGACGGCGTTTATGTAGTTCGGACTATAACCGAATCCGCCATCTGTCGCAAAAAAAAATAATGCGTCTCAGCTAAATCCTTGTGAAAGATATGTTCCCTCCTCTTACTCCCCCTTAATCCACTCGTGTTTACATCAGTGGTATAACTTGAGTCATGCTAATGAAGTCATTATAGGTCTTCGAATAAAGTTTTCACTTAATGCCACCCGCCATTTTCCTGCACGTGGGCTCAGTATTGGAAGAACCAGCATGGCCGAAGATGAGGATGAAGGGATGAAGGATGGGGTTTCTGTTGTTGCCAAGGTGGGCAATAAAACATGGGGTCCGGCGAGCAAGTACTGGGGGCTGGGGTTCGAATTCGATCATTTCCTCTACAGGAGTGCACACTTGTAACCCCAGAATATCCCATATGCAAAAGTTGTGACCCTGGTGTGCACCAACAGTTGGGTCACAGCAAAAATAGCTCCCCACTCAGGCCTTAGCTGTTTGAAGGTTAAATTGCAAATCAACCTACCTGCAAATTTGACCATCAAATGGTGGGATGGTTGAATTGTAGAACGCCAAATTGCAAGATACCACCTCTATTGTAAAATCTCAATGCAAAAATCTTGTGCATGGGTGCCACCTGTATTGCCAAGTGAACAAATGATTCATTCCATTGAAGTTTGACTTTCCTTCAACTGCAGAATGCATTTTTTCAGGTCCCCTATATTTCTCTGCATAAAAAGAGTACACCTGTACTGTACTATGACTCAATTTACCAACCAACATCAAAAAACATGTCCTCTATAAGCACTCCTCATCTCATGCGCCTCACATAGGTAGACAGAGACTACGCTTTCCCACGGTCGAGCCTGGAAGCACTCTCGCGACACGGCTTCCTCAACATGGTGGTGCCGCCAGAACTGAATGGCGCCGGCGCCGGGAACCAGACGGCGGCAGTGGCATGCGAGACAATCGCCCGTTACGGCGACCCCAGCGTGGCCATGGTGTACATCATGCACCTGAGTGCCGTGTTCTTTCTCTGCGAGGCGGCCGCGGGCGGCAATGAGGGCGCCCAACGTCTCCTGCGGCGGCTGGACAACGAGTGCCTCGTCGGCACCGTCGCTGCCAGCGACCCCATCACCGGCGGCCACTTTTGGAATTTCCTGTCTGCCAAAACACGACGCCTGGCGAGCAATGGATACATCAAAGCGAGTATAGATTCCTCTTCCACAACATTTATGCAGTACATGAATAACAGAATTTGGAAATGTATAGATATATATATATTTCACCAGAATCAAATTCATGCCGTTAAATGCGTTTTTAACTCTAAAATGCTTTCATAAAGCTTATAAAAATTGTTTCTTTTGATCATCAGCAGAGGCCTGCATGTACAGTCAACCCTTGATTTATTAGTGCTATCCCCAATTTAGGTCCAAAATTTTCACAGCTGGTGCAAATCTTCCATTGTCCCCCTGAAAGAAATCCTGATTTAATGCCAACCAGTTATTGACACAAATATATATCTTTGTCCTGTTGAAAAGAATTGGATCAAAATCAAAGAAATTAAGTCATTTTTCCAAGGATACCATCGGGTTGTAAGTCTTGCAACATTTTTAACTTCAATTTATATGCAATCCAATGCTCACATAAAAACTTACTCAGCATTATTTTGAGCATCTTATTTTTGAATTCACATTCTTTGAAATAATTGTTATTGTTGCATGGTACCTTCCATCATTGAAAATTTAAAATAGCTGAAGCTTTCCTGGAAACATTGGTGAGGCCTTCATGATGGTACCTGCTGTGAAACTCAAATCCACACAAAATTATAAGAATTAGCCTTGCTCTTTTACTCAACGCAATAACTCGTATGCATAAAAATCCAATACTGTATATTCTATAAATTTATATTTTTAAATTCTACCTAAAAACAGTACATTTGAGCTTCTGATTATTTCTTGTGGCTTTCTTTTCTATAAAATAGAATCAGTGGCCTAACAGTCTAAAACTTCTGTAAAGAAGCTTATTTTGCCTACAATACAAGCCCTCAACTAAACCTTCATCTCTTAGAATGTCCTTGGTTTAACCCTTGGATGGCAAAGGGTTGTTCTTTACAATTGCATGGCAGAGTTGGGATATTTTCAGGGGGCAGCACATTTCAGTTTGACCCATGGTCACTGAAATGTGCCCAGGTTGAGAAGACCTCAGACAGAAAAAAGCTGAGAGGCAAATGTTGTATTGTTTTCAGGAATCTTCCATGCTAATCCTGTGCCAGGCATGCAGGAAAAAATTCCACAAAGTAGGGGATTTATTTTATTGATTGTGCAATATTTTCTGCATGGTTAGAAAAGGATTTTGAACTTTTTCCCAACTTTGGCCATCATACAAAAGTAGGATTTTTAAATTTTCCACTGCTCAGTGGGACACAATGTTGCAAAAAGATCCTGACTTTGCTGCAAAAGGGTAATGCCACAAAATGTGACAACAAATGGTGGCACAAAGTCAAGGTTTGAGTGAATGATCAGAACAAAGTTCAACTTATGAATCAGCAATGTTTTTCCATCAACCTGTATTATCTTTTTCATTTTTATTTGCCTAGTTTACATCCTTGGATGTGCTGTGTTTTGAGCAATTCTAAATTTTCTAAGGTGTGGATTATTTGTTTGGTGCTGGATGTTTTTCCTCAGCAAAAAATGGTGGTTTTCCTGACTCAAAAACTCTCCAAGTCAAATTTGTTTCATGATTGGTCCATCCAAGTTTGACTCTATATCCCATAAAAAATGAAAACAAGCATTTATTTATTTATTTATTATCAATTTGTGCTTTCCTGCTATGAAGTGATTAAAATGTCATTGAGTGGATTTGGGTTGGGTGGGAAGGGGGTTTGTTTGTAGAAATCTTGATTGAAAACACAGCACATCCAAGGATGTAAACTAGGCAAATAAAAATGAAAAAGATAATACAGGTTGATGGAAAAACATTGCTGATTCATAAGTTGAACCTTGTGAACGCTGAAAAGCAGCAAATAAAGTGTTCGGTTCATTCATTCATTCATTCAAGCATTTGAAAAATATCTGCCTTAATTTCCTATAAACAGCTGTACAAGACGGTGTCCTGGGTGACGAGTGCCGGGTTCGCCGACTTCTACGTGGCTGGGGCGCCGGACCCGGACACCCCCGGCGACAATGCCATGTTCCTGCTGTACAAGGACGAGGTTCGGGCCGAGTCGGACGGGTTCCGCGGACTGGGCCTCCACGGGAACCACTCGGCGTCGGCCATTTGCGAGGCGGAACTGCCGCCGGATCGCCTGCTGACGACGTCGCGGCGCCGCACGAGGGACGGGCTGCCCGGCGGCGACGACTACACGGCCATCTACCACTGCCTGCAGTCGGCGGCGTTTCTGGGCGTCGCCCTGAACGCCGTCGACGTGGCCAAGGCGCACGTCAAGCACAAGATACACGCGGACACGGGCCAGCTGGTGGCGGACTATCCGATCATTCAAGTACGCTAGTACAGTACAGTACTGTGTGACAGTATGCTAGAAAATACGCGCGGGATGTTATTTAAAATATTGTACAAGATTCTTGACAAAAGTTCATGCAATAATTCAAAAGATATGTCATACAATTGAGCTAAGAAAAATGTATTATTTAGGAAAAACATTTTCTTTGGCCCAAAAAAAATCAGTCCTGTTTGACAATTTGTTTTAATGTTTTGCAAAATTCACCCTAGCCAAGTTTTGCTCTCCACTCAAAAGATGAGGTGCCCTTCCTGAAGATTTTTGTTGTTGTAACGCAGCTTTCCCCTCAGAATTTTTGAAATCAACGTGGCATTCTTTCTAAGGGTTGCCTCCAGATCTTCCAAGGCAATTTTTTTCCTAAAAAAATTAGCTTCTATCATGCATTTCCTCAGTTGCAACAATGTCTTAACCCTTGCATTGTAGAGGGTTCCTTTCCATCACTGAGTGTATTTGTGATTTTTCTGGGGGAGGCACCTTTTAGTTTGACTGAAGGTCACTGGAATGCTCCTGGGTTGGTAAGGCCCAAGTTGGGAAAAAGTGAAAAACCTGTGAGGCAAATTTCCTATTGTTTTGAGGAATCTCCTATGCTAATCCTATGCTAAGAATGCAGGAAGAAATGCCTTTCAGAGAGGGCTTTTTTAGTTTGCATACAGAATTTTCTGTTGAACTAGAAACAAATATATTAGAATTTTCCTCAACTTAGGCCTCAATACAAAAGTAGGATTTTTAAAGTTTGCAATGCTCATGGGCACAACATTTTACAAAATTATCCCAATTTTGCTGCTGAAGGGTTAATTCTGGGAGGAAGCGGTGTGGAACTACTTGGAGGGATTTGTCAAGTGATAATGACAAAGACCTTATAGAAATAAGTATAAACCGTACGCAGCCTTTAGGAGGCCGGATCCTCCAGAAGGGAGTCCCTTAAGCACTCTTTTATTCCAGTGCACACA